GATAAGAGAAATAGATTAAAAGGGAGGCTGTGATCGGCCTCACACTCCAGTAACGTAGATGGCGGTGTATGCACCTTTCAGTTGGTTGCGATCCGCCAACACAAATTTAAAGAAGAAGAACTCTAGCTAGCACACGGGAACCGGAGTCAATGAGGGGTAATTTGTTTCCAATGGATATTTTATTTTATTTTTTATTTAACCTTTATTTAACCAGGTAAGCCAGTTAAGAACAAGTTCTCATTTACAACTGCGACCTGGCCAAGATAAAGCAAAGCAGTGCGATAAAAACAACAACACAGAGTTACATATGGGGTAAACAAAACATAAAGTCAAAAATACAACAGAAAATATATATACAGTGTGTGCGAGTGTAGTAAATAATGGAGGTAAGGCAATAAATAGGCCATAGTGCAAAATAGTTACAATTTCGTATTAACACTGGAATGATAGATGTGCAAAAGATGATGTGCAAATAGAGATACTGGGGTGCAAATTAGCAAAATAAATAACAATATGGGGATGAGGTAGTTGGATGGGCTAATTTCAGAATGGCTGTGTGCAGGTGCAGTGATCGGTAAGCTGCTCTGACAACTGACGCTTAAAGTTAGTGAGGGAGATAAGAGTCTCCAGCTTCAGAGATTTTTGCAGTTTGTTCCAGTCATTGGCAGCAGAGAACTGGAAGGAATGGCGGCCAAAGGAGGTGTTGGCTTTGGGGATGACCAGTGAGATATACCTGCTGAAGCGCAGACTACGGGTGGGTGTTGCTATGGTGACCAGTGAGCTAAGATAAGATGGGGATTTGCCTAGCAATGATTTATAGATGACCTGGAGCCAGTGGGTTTGGTGACGAATATGTAGTGAGGGCCAGCCAACAAGAGCGTACAGGTCACAATGGTGGGTAGTATATGGGGCTTTGGTGACAAAACGGATGGCACTGTGATAGACTACATCCGATTTGCTGAGTAGAGTGTTGGAGGCTATTTTGTAAATGACATCGCCGAAGTCAAGGATCGGTAGGATAGTCAGTTTTACGAGGGCATGTTTGGCAGCATGAGTGAAGGAGGCTTTGTTGCGAAATAGGAAGCCGATTCTAGATCAAACTTTTGATTGGAGATGCTTAATGTGAGTCTGGAAGGAGAGTTTACAGTCTAACCAGACACCTAGGTATTTGTAGTTGTCCACATACTCTAGGTCAGACCCGCCGAGAGTAGTGATTCTAGTCGGGTGGGCGGGTGCAAGCAGCGTTCGGTTGAAGAGCATGCATTTAGTTTTACTTGTGTTTAAGAGCAGTTGGAGGCTACGGAAGGAGTGTTGTATGGCGTTGAAGCTCGTTTGGAGGTTTGTTAACACAGTGTCCAATGAAGGGCCAGAAGTATACAAAATGGTGTCGTCCGCATAGAGGTGGATCCGAGCGTCACCAGCAGCAAGAGCGACATCATTGATATACACAGAGAATAGAGTCGGCCCGAGAATTGAACCCTGTGGCACCCCCATAGAGACTGCCAGAGGTCCAGACAACAGGCCCTCCGATTTTACACATTGAACTCTATCTGAGAAGTAGTTGGTGAACCAGGCGAGGCAGTCATTTGAGAAACCAAGGCTATTTAGTCTGCCAATAAGAATGCAGTGGTTGACAGAGTCGAAAGCCTTGGCCAGGTCGATGAAGACGGCTGCGCAGTCCTGTCTTTTATCGATCGCGGTTATAATATCGTTTAGGACCTTGAGCGTGGCTGAGGTGCACCCATGACCAGCTCGAAAACCGGATTGCATAGCGGAGAAGGTACGGTGGATTTCGAAATGGTCGGTGATCTGTTTGTTAACTTGGCTTTCAAAAACGTTTGAAAGGCAGGGCAGGATGGATATAGGTCTGTAACAGTTTGGATCTAGAGTGTCACCCCCTTTGAAGAGGGGGATGACCGCGGCAGCTTTCCAATCTCTGGGGATCTCAGACGTTACGAAAGAGAGGTTGAACAGGCTAGTAATAGGGATTGCGACAATTTCGGCGGCTAATTTTAGAAAGAAAAGGCCCAGATTTTCTAGCCCAGCTGATTTGTAGGGGTCCAGATTTTTTAGCTCTTTCAGAACATCAGCTGTCTGAATTTGTGAAAAGGAGAAGCGGGGGGGGGGGGGGCATGGGCAAGTTGCAGCAGAGGGTACAGAGCTGGTGGACGGGGTAGTGGTAGCCAGGTGGAAAGCATGGCCAGCCGTAGCAAAAATCCTTGTTGAAATTCTCGATTATTGTAGATTTATCGGTGGTGACAGTGTTTCCTAGCCTCAGTGCATTGGGCAGTTGGGAGGAGGTGCTCTTATTCTCCATGGACTTTACAGTGTCCCAAACCTTTTTGGAGTTAGTGCTACAGGATGCAAATTTCTGTTTGAAAAAGCTAGCCTTTGCTTTCCTAACTGATTGTGTATATTGGTTCCTGACTTCCCTGAAAAGTTGCATATCGCGGGGGCTGTTAGATGCTAATGCAGTACGCCACAGGATGTTTTTGTGCTGGTCAAGGGCAGTCAAGTCTGAGGAGAACCAGGGGCTATATCTGTTCTTAGTTCTGCATTTTTTGAATTGGGCATGCTTATTTAAGATTGAGAGGAAAGCACTTTTAAAGAACAACCAGGCATCCTCTACTGACGGAATGAGGTCAATATCCATCCAGGATAGCCGGGCCAGGTCAATTAGAAAGGCCTGCTCGCTAAAGTATTTTAGGGAGCGTTTGACGGTGATGAGGGGTGGTCGTTTGACCGCGGACCCATTACGGACGCAGGCAATAAGGCAGTGATCGCTGAGATCCTGGTTGAAGACAGCGGAGGTGTATTTAGAGGGTAAATTTGTCAGGATGATATCTATGAGGGTACCCATGTTTACAGATTTAGGGTTGTACCTGGTAGGTTCGTTGATAATTTGTGTGAGATTGAGGGCATCTAGTTTAGATTGTAGGTTGGCCGGGGTGTTAAGCATATCCCAGTTTAGGTCACCAAGCAGTACGAACTCTGAGGATAGATGGGGGGCAATCAGTTCACATATGGTGTCCAGGGCACAGCTCGGGGCTGAGGGGGGTCTGTAGCCAGCGGCAACAGTGAGAGACTTATTTCTGGAAAGGTGGATTTTTAGAAGTAGAAGCTCAAACTGTTTGGGCACAGACCTGGATAGTACGATAGAGCTCTGCAGGCTATCTCTACAGTAGATTGCAACCCCACCCCCTTTGGCAGTTCTATCGAGACGGAAAATGTTGTAGTTGGGGATGGAAATGTCAGAATTTTTGGTGGCCTTCCTAAGCCAGGATTCAGACACTGCTAGAACATCAGGGTTGGCGGAGTGTGCTAACGCAGTGAATAACTCACACTTAGGGAGGAGGCTTCTGATGTTAACGTGCAAGAAACAAAGGCTTTTACGGTTACAGAAGTCAACAAATGATAACGTCTGGGGAGTAGGAGTGATACTGGGGGCTACAGGGCCTGGGTTAACCTCTACATCACCAGAGGAACAGAGAAGGAGTAGAATAAGGAGACGGCTAAAGGCTTTAAGAACTGGTCTTCTAGTGCGTTGGGTACAGGGGAAAAGGGGCAGATTTCCGGCCATTGTAGAATAGATTCAGGGCATTATGCACAGACAAGGATATGGAAGGATATAAGTACAGTGGAGGTAAACCTAAGCGTTGGGTAACGATGAAAGAGATAGCATCACTGGAGGCACCGATTGAGTCAGTCTCCGCGTGTATGGGGGGGTGGAAGAACAAGGGCTTGAGGGAATGGCGACGTTAGCTAGCTACAATGAGAGGACGAGAAGGATAAAGGCTTCCGGAGTGGAGGAATATGGAAGGTGGATTTAGGAATTTGAATCTGTCCTGGTGGTGGCAGGTCGTGTAACGGCAGAAGCGGATGCAATGTTTGATTTTGTTGGCGCGAGTGGAGTTGATGAGAATGATAAGTGGACAACGGTGAGAAAGAAGAATGGCGCTAAAAGGGCTAGATGGAAATTAAGATCAATTTATTGTTGGATTTCACCAGCAAGGATGTTTTTTGGGTAACCCGTTTGTGGTCTCAAAGATGGTAAAGGACGCATTGGTAAAAGTCGGTCAGAGTGACCAGAAGTGGTGTGTTGTTGATTGTGTGTGTGTCAAGAGAATAAAGGGAGGAAGCACTGTGGCTCTACAAACTATTAACGTATGATGTGGAAAACTGTGATTTTTGGAGTAGGACACCGAAGTGGTAGACGCACGTCGACTGACCCAAATGATAAATTGAAAGAAAGAGGAAAGCCTAGTGGTATTATTGACTTTTGATCAAGCGTTTCTCCCGACTCATGTAAAACTTGGGTATGTGAGATATGTGGTGAGACTGTATCTACAGAAGCTGCTGCAGTGTTACGATTGTAAAAAGTTTGGAAACGTGGCAAGTGTTTGTCGAAGGAAGAGTCAGATGAAGCACGTTGCTGTAATTGTGATGGGAATCACGTTCCCAAGTTCCTGGAGTGCCCTGTAAGGATGAAGGAGGTCGCAGTGGCTAGGATCGGGGCTATCCAGCAGGTCTCCTATGTGGAGGCTGTGAAAATAGCTGAAAGAGCAAGTGGAGATGAGATGGCAGTGGATGCCCCACAGCCTGCAGTGAATGCAGTTCAGGAGAAGGATCCAGAAACACTAACAGTGAAGGTGGACTTTGTTGCATTTATTGTGCAAGTGATAAATTGCACTGGACAAACTAATACAAAAATCTAAGAAACTAGACATAATTGTGACTACGGCAAAAATACTTCTGGATCTCCAGGACTTTACAGCCCAAATGTTACAGGAAATACTGAATGAAGAGGTTCCCCCATCCATACATTTGAATCTGACTGAAGGAGTGCAGTTTGTTTTATTTACTTTTGACTAATAAGTATTTTTTTCACCCTTCCCTTCTCCCTATTATTTTGCATTAAGGCGTATCAGTTTTCACCGCATCCAGTTGGTGGCAGCATGCACCGCTAACGTTGTTTGTGGACCGCAGTAATACCATAGAAGAAGAACTCTAGCAAGCTCAAGCTAACAACAACACAACACTCGCTGCAGCGCATTTAAATCTTTGGCTGCAGTTTCCGAGACATTTAGATATCACCTGTTTGGGTTGGTTTGTAGTAAAAATAATAATAATACTTGTTCATTTGTCTTAACGCTTTGTACACGTTCGTTCAATAATATTTAAACAAATTCTCTCAGTTTCACATTTTTTATAGCTAGCTAGCTACTGTAACTTAGCCGTCTCTTAGCCAACTAATGTTAACACAACAAGGGCCTTAGCTAGCTACTGTAACGTTAGATAGCTTGCCGTTTTGAACGCGAATATCTAAGGCTTGCCTGCAAAAACTTGCCTCTGTTCCAACGGAGAAATATATTTGTGTATATATTTAGCCAACTAACTAGCTAGGTAGAAGTAAATTGGTTTTTAAAATGAGGGGCGGTTCGTCGTATGGAGACCGGGACCGTGGTCGCGACAGGGGGTAAGTCGGACAGCTAACGTTAGCTATTTGCCTGGAAACCCGACGATGAATTGCATTGAATTCTTCGTCGGGCAGAAATGAGCGTTTGAATCAGGAAGGTTTCTTCTTACGACCTCTGCTAGCCAGAATGTTGAATAAAATGATATTTTAACTTACTTTACCGTTGGTCCTTTTGCAGGTAGGAATGTGAGACAATATATCCACAGGAAAGCATAATTAAATCAACTTTTCAAGGCGCTGGTAGTGCGTTCAGAGTTCTATCACTAGAAGCATGGGCACAATATGAAAATACATGCAGGCCATGCAAGCATACATGGTTCAGGGCATGTTACAGGTGATACATCTGGCGTGCATGTGGGTACAGTGCATTCGGAAAGTATTCTGACCCCTTGACTTTTTCCACATTACAACCATGTTCTAAAATGGAATAAATTGTTGTTTGCCCCCCTTATCAATCTACACACAATACCCCATAATGGCAAAGCAAAAACAGATGTAGATTTTTTTGCAAATGTGTATATAAAAAAACAAAAACAGGATATTACATTTACATAAGTATTCAGAACCTTTACTCAGTATTTTGTTAAAAGCACCTTTGGCAGTGATTTACAGCCTCACGTCGTCTTGGGTATGACACTAAAAACTTGGCACACCTGTATTTGGGGAGTTTCTCCCATTCTTCTCTGCAGATCCTCTCAAGCTCTGTCAGGTTGGATGGGGAGCGTCGCTGCACAGCTATTTTCAGGTCTCCAGAGATGTTCGATCGGGTTCAAGTCTGGGCTCTGGCTGGGCCACTCAAGGACATTCAGAGACTTGTCCCGAAGCCACTCCTGCGTTGTCTTGGCTGTGTGCTTAGGGTCGTTGTCTTGTTGGAAGGTGAACCTTCGCCCCAGTCTGAGGTTCTGAGCGCTCTGGAGCAGGTTTTCATCAAGGATCTCTGTACTTTGCTCCGTTCATCTTTCCCTCGATCCTGACTAGTCTCCCAGTCCCTGCCGCTGAAAAACATTCCCACAGCATGATGCTGCCACCACCATACTTCACCGTAGGGATGGTGCCAGGTTTCCTCCAGATGTGACGCTTGGCATTCAGGCCAAAGAGTTCAATCTTGGATTCATCAGACCAGAGAATCTTGTTTCTCATGGTCTGAGTCCTTTAGGTGCCTTTTGTCAAACTCCAAGCGGGCTGTCTTGTGCCTTTTACTGAGGAGTGGCTTCCGTCTGGCCACTCTACCATAAAGGCCTGATTGGTGGAGTGCTGCAGAGATGGTTGTCCTTCTGGAAGGTTCTCCCATCTCCACAGAGGAACTCTGGAGCTCTGTCAGTGACCATCGGGTTCTTGGTCACCTCCCTGACCAAGGCCCTTCTCCCCTGATTGCTCAGTTTGGCCGGGCGCCCAGCTCTAGGAAGAGTCTTGGTGCTTCCAAATTTTTCCATTTAAGAATGTTGGAGGCCACTGTGTTCTTGGGGGGACCTTCAATGCTGCAGAAATTTTTTGTTACCCTATCCCAGACACAATCCTGTTTCGGTGCTCTACGGACAATTCCTTCACCCTCATGGCTTGATTTTTGCTCTGACATGCACTGTCAACTGTGGGACCTTATATAGAAAGGTGTGCCTTTCCAAATCATGTCCAATCAATTGAATTGACCACAGGTGGACTCCAATCAAGTTGTAGAAACATTACATTTACATTTCTACATTTTCGTCATTTAGCAGACGCTCTTATCCAGAGCGACTTACAAATTGGTGCATTCACCTTATGATAGCCAGTGGGACAACCACTTAACAATATATCTTCTTTTTTTTTTTTTTTTTTTTTTGGGGGAGGGTAGGGTTACTTTTATCCTATCCCAGGTATTCCTTAAAGAGGTGGGGTTTCAAGTGTCTCCGGAAGGTGGTGAGTGACTCCGCTGTCCTGGCGTCGTGAGGGAGCTTGTTCCACCATTGGGGTGCCAGAGCAGCGAACAGTTTTGACTGGGCTGAGCGGGAACTGTGCTTCTGCAGAGGTAGGGGGGCCAGCAGGCCAGAGGTGGATGAACGCAATGCCCTCGTTTGGGTGTAGGGACTGATCAGAGCCTGAAGGTACGGAGGTGCCGTTCCCCTCACAGCTCCGTAGGCAAGCACCATGGTCTTGTAGCCGATGCAGGCTTCAACTGGAAGCCAGTGGAGTGTGCGGAGGAGCGGGGTGACGTGAGAGAACTTGGGAAGGTTGAACACCAGACGGGCTGCAGCGTTCTGGATGAGTTGTAGGGGTTTAATGGCACAGGCAGGGAGCCCAGCCAACAGCTAGTTGCAGTAATCCAGACGGGAGATGACAAGTGCCTGGATTAGGACCTGTGCCGCTTCCTGTGTAAGGTAGGGTCGTACTCAGCGAATGCTGTAGAGCATGAACCTACAGGATCGGGTCACCGTTTTGATGTTAGCGGAGAACGACAGGGTGTTGTCCAGGGTCACGCCAAGGTTCTTTGCACTCTGGGAGGAGGACGCAACAGAGTTGTCAACCGTGATGGCGAGATCATGGAGCGGGCAGTCCTTCCCCGGGAGGAAGAGCAGCTCCGTCTTGCCGAGGTTCAGCTTGAGGTGGTGATCCGTCATCCACATTGATATGTCTGCCAGACATGCAGAGATGCGATGTGCCACCTGGTTATCAGAAGGGGGAAAGGAGGAGATGAATTGTGTGTCTTCTGCGTAGCAATGATAGGAGAGACCATGTGAGGATATGACAGAGCCAAGTGACTTGGTGTATAGAGAGAATAGGAGAGGGCCTAGAACTGAGCCCTGGGGGACACCAGTGGTGAGAGCACGTGGTGCGGTGACAGATTCTCGCCACGCCACCTGGTAGGAGCGACCTGTGATGTAAAGTGGTTATCCCACTGGCTATAGGGTGAACGCACCAATTTGTGAGTCGCTCTGGCTAAGAGCGTCTGCTAAATGACGTTAATGTGCCCTTGAGCAAGGCACTTAACCCTAATTGCTCCTGTAAGTCGCTCTGGTTAAGAGCGTCTGCTAAATGACTAAAATGTAAATGTAAAATGTAGGTAGGACGCAATCCAAGAGTTAGCCGCGCCGGAGATGCCCAACTCGGAGAGGGTGGAGAGGAGGATCTGATGGTTCACAGTATCAAAGGCAGCAGATACAGTGGGGAGAACAAGTATTTGATACACTGCCGATTTTGCAGGTTTTCCTACTTCAAAGCATGTAGAGGTCTGTAATTTTTTATCATAGGTGCACATCAACTGTGAGAGATGGAATCTAAAACAAAAATCCAGAAAATCACATTGTATGATTTTTAAAGAATTAATTTGCATTTTATTGCATGACATAAGTATTTGATACATCAGAAAAGCAGAACTTAATATTTGGTACAGAAACCTTTGTTTGCAATTACAGAGATCATACGTTTCCTGCAGGTCTTGACCAGGTTTGCACACACTGCAGCAGGGATTTTGGCCCACTCCTCCATACAGACCTTCTCCAGATCCTTCAGGTTTCGGGGCTGTCGCTGGGCAATACAGACTTTCAGCTCCCTCCAAAGATTTTCTATTGGGTTCAGGTCTGGAGACTGGCTAGGCCACTCCAGGACCTTGAGATGCTTCTTACGGAGCCACTCCTTAGTTGCCCTGGCTTTGTGTTTCGGGTCGTTGTCATGCTGGAAGACCCAGCCACGACCCATCTTCAATGCTCTTACTGAGGGAAGGAGGTTGTTGGCGGCCAAGATCTCGCGATACATGGCCCCATCCTTCCACCCCTCAATACGGTGCAGTCGTCCTGTCCCCTTTGCAGAAAAGCATCCCCAAAGAATGATGTTTCCACCTCCATGCTTCACGGTTGGGATGGTGTTCTTGGGGTTGTACTCATCCTTCTTCTTCCTCCAAACATGGCGAGTGGAGTTTAGACCAAACAGCTCTATTTTTGTCTGATCAGACCACATGACCTTCTCCCATTCTTCCTCTGGATCATCCAGATGGTCATTGGCAAACTTCAGACGGGCCTGGACATGCGCTGGCTTGAGCAGGGGGACCTTGCGTGCGCTGCAGGATTTTAATCCATGACGGCGTAGTGTGTTACTAATGGTTTTCTTTGAGACTGTGGTCCCAGCTCTCTTCAGGTCATTGACCAGGTCCTGCCGTGTAGTTCTGGGCTGATCCCTCACCTTCCTCATGATCATTGATGCCCCACGAGGTGAGATCTTGCATGGAGCCCCAGACCGAGGGTGATTGACCGTCATCTTGAACTTCTTCCATTTTCTAATAATTGCGCCAACAGTTGTAGCCTTCTCACCAAGCTGCTTGCCTATTGTCCTGTAGCCCATCCCAGCCTTGTGCAGGTCTACAATTTTATCCCTGATGTCCTTACACAGCTCTCTGGTCTTGGCCATTGTGGAGAGGTTGTAGTCTATTTGATTCAGTGTGGGGACAGGTGTCTTTTATACAGGTAACGAGTTCAAACAGGTGCAGTTAATACAGGTAATGAGTGGAGAACAGGAGGGCTTCTTATAGAAAAACTAACAGGTCTGTGAGAGCCGGAATTCTTACTGGTTGGTAGGTGATCAAATACTTATGTCATGCAATAAAATGCAAATTAATTACTTAAAAATCATACATTGGGATTTTCTGGATTTTTGTTTTAGATTCCGTCTCTCACAGTTGAAGTGTACCTATGATAAAAAAATTACAGACCTCTACATGCTTTGTAAGTAGGAAAACCTGCAAAATCGGCAGTGTATCAAATACTTGTTCTCCCCACTGTAGGTCTAGGATGAGAGCAGAGGAGAGAGAGTTAGCTTTAGCAGTGCGGAGAGCCTCCGTGACACAGAGAAGAGCAGTCTCAGTTGAATGACCAGTCTTGAAACCTTACTGGTTTGGATCAAGAAGGTCATTCTGAGAGAGATAACAAGAGAGTTGGAGAGAAAATAAAGAAGGGATACTGGTCTGTAGGTGTTGACATCGGAGGGATCGAGTGTAGGTTTTTTGTGAAGGGGTGCAACTCTCGCTCTCTTGAAGACGGAAGGGACATAGCCAGTGGTCAAGGATGAGTTGATGAGCGAGGTGAGGTAAGGGAGAAGGTCTCCGGAAATGGTCTGGAGAAGAGAGGAGGGGATAGGGTCAAGCGGGCAGGTTGTTGGGGCGGCTGGCCGTCACAAGTCGCAAGATTTCATCTGAAGAGAGAGGGGAGAAAGAAGTCAAAGCATAGGGTAGGGCAGTGTGAGCAGGACCAGCGGTGTCATTTGACTTAATAAATGAGGATTGGATGTCGTCAACCTTCTTTTCAAAATGGTTGACCAACTCATCCACAGAGAGGGAGGAGGATTCAGCAGGGAGGAGAAGGTGACAAAGAGCTTCCTAGGGTTAGAGGCAGAGGCTTGAAATTTAGAGTGGTAGAAAGTGGCTTTAGCAGCAGAAACAGAGGATGAAAATGTAGAGGGGAGGGAGTGAAAAGATGACAGGTCCGCAGGGAGTCTAGTTTTCCTCTATTTCCGCTCGGCTGCCCGGAGCCCTGTTCTGTGAGCTCGCAATGAGTCGTCAAGCCACGGAGCAGGAGTGGAGGACCGAGCCGGCCGGGAGGATAGGGGACATAGAGAGTCAAAAGATGCAGAAAGGGAGGCGAGGAGAGTTGAGGAGGCAGAATCAGGAGATTGGAGGGAGAAGGATTGAGCAGAGGGATGAGATGATAGGATGGAAGAGGAGAGAGTAGCGGGAGAGAGAGCGAAGGTCGCGACGGCGCATTACCATCTGAGTAGGGGCAGAGTGAGTAGTGTTGGAGGAGAACGAGAGAGAAAAGGATCAATTAAATTAATTAATATGCCATTTAGCAGACGCTTTTATCCAAAGCGACTTACAGTCATGCGTGCATACATTTTTGTGTATGGGTGGTCCCGGGGATCGAACCCACTACCTTGGCATTACAAGCGCCGTGCTCTACCAGCTGAGCTACAGAGGACCACATACAAAGTAGTGGTCGTAGACTTGGAGGGGAGTTGCAGTGAGATTAGTAGAAGAACAGCATCTAGTAAAGATGAGGTCAAGCGTATTGCCTGCCTTGTGAGTAGGGGGAGACGGTGAGAGGGTGAGGTCAAAAGAGGAGAGGAGTGGAACGAAGGAGGCAGAGATAAATGAGTCAAAGGTAGACATAGGGAGGTTAAAGTCACCCAGAACTGTGAGGGGTGAGCCATCCTCAGGAAAGGAACTTATCAAGGCGTCAAGCTCATTGATGAACTCTCCGAGGGAACCTGGAGGGCGATAAATGATAAGGATGTTAAGCTTGAATGGGCTAGTGACTGTGACAGCATGGAATTGAAATGAGGAGATAGACAGATAGGTCAGGGGAGAAAGAGAGAATGAGGATTCCTGTGCCACCGCCCCGCTGACCAGATGCTCTCGGGGTATGCGAGAACACATGGTCAGACGAGGAGAGAGCAGTAGGAGTAGCAGTGTTTTCTGTGGTAATCCATGTTTCCGTCAGCGCCAAGAAGTTGAGGGACTGGAGGGTAGCATAGGCTGAGATGAACTCTGCCTTGTTGGCCGCAGAACGGCAGTTCCAGAGGCTGCCGGAGACCTGGAACTCCACGTGGGTCGTGCGTGCAGGGACCACCAGGTTAGAGAGGCAGCAGCCACGCGGTGTGAGGTGTTTGTATGGCCTGTGCGGAGAGGAGAGAACAGGGATAGACAGACACATAGTTGACAGGCTACAGAAATGGCTACACTAATGCAAAGGAGATCGGAATGAAATTAACTAAACATCTGGGGAAACGAGGCCTCCCTCACTAACCTTTCACTGAAACACTCAAATACAACTCTTCCAACTTCCACTTTAGAAATTATAATTGCTGTAATCTACAGTAGTTCAATGTTTCCAGGAATAGACTAACTTAGTTTATTCAGCTAGCTAACTTGGTACAGTATTCTTCTGTGAAAACCGCCCAGGGCACCGTATCCTATGACGCCATAGCTAACTAGCATGCTAGCATCCAATAACACACGGTTTAGCACCAATACTTGGTTACAACAAACTACCAATGGATCATTCATGTCCGTGTCTAGTTCCTCAAGGATGATCAATGGAAACATGATTCACCTGAGCTCAATTTCGAGTCTCATAGCAAAGGGTCTGAATACTTATGTAAATAAGGTATTTCTGTTTTTTATTTGTAATACATTAGCAAACATTTATTTAAAAAACTATTTTCGCTTTGTCATTATGGGATATTGTGTGTAGATTGATGAGGAAAAAAATAACATTTAATCAATTCTAGAATAAGGCTGTAACGTAACAAAATGTGGGAAAAATCAAGGGGTCTGAATACTTTCCGAATGCACTGTATATTGTCTCACATTCCTACTGTAAAAAGGACCAATAGCAGTAACCGGTAGATAATGTTTCAATGTCATTTTATTCAACATGCTGGCTTGTAGAGGTCTTGAGTGGAAACTTTCCTGATCCAAACACACATTTTTGCCCAATGTAGAATTCAATACAATTCAACGTCGGGTTTCCAGGCTATTTCTATTCACTTTAGCTAACATGAATATCAAACCAAAGATGGAGAGCTACAATGAATCTATAAAGACCAGCTACTTAGCTAGCTAGCTAGCTATGTAATCCTCTTCATACCCTTTGGGACCAATGGCCAATATGCGTTCCCTCCAATTCTTTCTGTCCTTGGCAAATGTTGTGTACAATATTGTGTGTGTGAGTCTAGCTTGGAAGTAATCAAATACTAATCTATGTGCGTGTCATCATGTTAGTAGTCCTCGTTTTGGGTCTAGCAGAGGTCCCCCTCCCAACAAGAAGTTTGGGAACCCAGGGGAGCGTTTGCGCAAGAAGAAATGGGACCTAGACGAGCTTCCAAAGTTTGAGAAGAACTTTTACAATGAACATCCAGATGTCCAGCGCATGAACCAGGTATCTCCACACACCAGTGTTCTTCAGTCATGGAGAACCACAGGATGTGCGTGTGCATTTGTTACAGCACAGTCCAGTAGGCCTACTATGACATCTGATTCAACTAATCAAGGGTTGGATGTTTACTGAATCTGGTTTATTTGTGCTGGGCAGTCTGCACACTCTTGGTCTCCACTAATATTGAAAATCACTGCCCTATACTCTTATGGACTTAGTCTGCAGTTGTTGTCAGATGTGCCACCCTTGACACTATTTGTGGATAGTTTTTTTTCTTATTGTCTCAGATATTGTTTTCTGTCTTTCAGTATGACTTGGAGGAGTTTCGCAGGAAGAAGGAGATCACTATCAGGGGGTCAGGCTGCCCAAAACCTGTCACTAGCTTCTCCCAGGCCCATTTCCCCCGTAAGTACAAACATGTTTCAGTACATCTGAACTGCCCTGGCTTCATTGGAAATATGCATATCATTTTTACTTCTGGGAAAACTCTGGCAGGTAATGTGGCCAATTGAACCTTAGTTTTGTCAACCAAAGCAACTTGTAGTTATTTAGTTATGCTTATAAGATGTTCTTATCCACTTCACCCAGAGTATGTGATGGACGTGCTGATACAGCAGAACTTTAAGGAGCCAACAGCTATCCAGGCACAAGGCTTCCCACTGGCCCTGAGTGGCAGGGACATGGTGGGCATCGCACAGACAGGTTCTGGGAAAACCTTATCGGTGAGATGCAGCTGCAGCTCCATCATTATACATCCACAAGAACAGAACAGCATGAACACAAAGTTACCACAACACATTATGAACAATAGCAGCATGCACACTGTTCATATCTGTAGACATCTTTATTCATTTGTCTTTCTGAGCATTTTAACACATACCCCTGTGTTGACTGCCATACAATATCCTCAGTTTTCTTGTCTTCCTTCTAGAGCCCGAACGAAATGTGTTTTTGGGGGTCCGATACCGATTCTGATTTTTTTGGGGGGACAAAACGTATCAATATGATATACATTTACATTTGACATTTTAGTCATTTAGCAGATGCTCTTATCCAGAGCGACTTACAGTTAGTGAGTGCATACATTTTTCATACTGGCCCCCCATGGGAATCGAACCCACAACCCTGGCGTTGCAAGCGCCATGCTCTACCAACTGAGCTACAGGAGGCCCTGCAGATATACTGTTTTACAGTGGATAAATGAAAGTTAACATTTTCCACACTGACTTTTCAGAAATGGCCATCCAAAAGAGCAATTGTCTAAGAAATATGCTGCAAATGTTGATTTCTTACATTGTGACAGTAATGACATATCATGAGAATGTCCACAAGTGTTCCGATAAGCATGAGATTCCCTTTTTACATTCTATTAATTGAATATTGGTTATAGTGGAATTGATATATATCGGTGAAATTATATATCAGTTGGGCTCTATATCCTTCTCTATTATTAATCTCTCTTGCTTGATGTGGGGTATTTATCCCCTTGTTGTTGTATCTCCTCAGTATCTCCTGCCTGCCATTGTGCACATTAACCACCAGCCCTACCTAGAAAGAGGAGACGGACCAATCGTAAGTAAACCATTCTGGATGAATCTTATGGCATGTGTTTCCTATAATTGTTCATATGAATGGATATCAGCCACTTCCAAAATGGATTCTATTCTATTCAGGGGAGTGTTTTTTTCTATCCCCGTCCTGTCTCTGTGCAGTGTTTGGTTCTGGCACCGACTCGAGAGCTGGCCCAGCAGGTTCAGCAGGTGGCGCATGAATACGGCAAGTCATCCCGCATCAAGAGCACCTGTGTCTACGGGGGAGCGCCCAAGGGTCCCCAGATCCGTGATCTGGAAAGAGGTAAGGAGGCTCCTATGGAAAAGGGCCTACACATGTTACAGTACTTCTACTATACCACCTCCAGTATTCACATTTTTGTCAGGTCATGTTAGTTACCATGATATGACCTATACGGTGAAGATACTCCATACTCTTTTCTATTACGCATGTCTGTCCAAACCAGAGAAACCTACGCTGCTCTCACTCTCCCTCACAGGTGTTGAGATCTGCATCGCCACCCCGGGTCGTCTCATTGACTTCCTGGAGGCAGGGAAGACGAACCTACGGCGCTGCACCTACTTGGTGTTGGACGAGGCTGACAGAATGCTGGACATGGGCTTTGAGCCACAGATCCGCAAGATTGTTGACCAGATTAGGGTGAGTAGGGTTCTCTCGTCACTCAAAAGCAAAGTAACCCTCATTTTACAGCTGTTATTAACTTATCTCTTTCCCATGCATTAGCTACATATTGACGCATTTCAGGCCTGCCTAAGACATACACTGAGTGTACAAAACATTAGGGACACCTGCTCTTTCCATGACAGACTGACCAGGTGAAAGCTATGATCCCTTATTGATGTCAGCTATCCACTATAATCATTGTAGATGAAGGGGAGGAGACGGGTCAAAGAAGGATTTTAAGCCTTGAGACAATTGAGACATGGATTGTGTATGTGTGACATTCAGAGGGTGAATGGGCAAGACAAAAGATTTAAGTGCCGTTGAACGGGGTATGGTAGTAGGTGCCAGGGGCACCGGTTTGAGTGTGTCAAGAACTGCAACGCTGCTGGGTTTTTCACGCTCTACAGTTTCCTTTGTGTATCAAGAATGATCCACCACACAAAGGACTTCCAGCCGACTTGATACAACTGTGGGAAGCATTAGAGTCCCTGTGGAACGCTTTCGACACCTTCTAGTCCAATGCCTGATGAATTGAGGCTGTTCTGAAGGCAAAAGGGGTACAGCTCAATATTAGGATGGTGTTCCTAATGTTTTGTACACTGTATATTTCTGTAGATGGACTACTGCAACTTCTTTATTCCAAATGGCTAGTGGTTTCTAGTCTATATCCCCGTGCTGCTGCTATACTATAATAAAACATCTGCTACTGCTGCTAGCTACTACAAAATGTGCTTACGTTTTTTATCAAGAGTTTCTAATGCTGCTCTCATCCCAGCCTGACAGACAGACCCTGATGTGGAGTGCCACCTGGCCGAAGGACGTGCGGCAGCTAGCAGAGGACTTCCTGAAGGACTATGTCCAGATCAATGTGGGAGCCCTGGAGCTGAGCGCCAACCACAACATCCTGCAGATTGTGGACGTGTGCACGGAGAGCGAGAAAGGACAACAAGTGAGGCTAATACTTGTTCACTCTACTCCACTGAAACATTAGCATTAGTGAATGGGACTGTGTTGATGCAAACTGATGAGGCTTGGTCGTAGAACGATGTAGGATGTAACTAACTCTCCAAAGAGCTTGCATTGGCTAACATGTTCGCTCACCTTCTCCCAGGCTGCTCCAGCTGATGGAGGAGATCATGGCTGAGAAGGAGAACAAGACCATCATCTTTGTGGAGACCAAGAAACGCTGCGATGATCTGACCCGCAGAATGAGACGCGATGGGTGAGCGAGGGAAAGGAACGCACACACTCTGGGAATAATTAATTGATACCATTGAATATAACAAAGTTATGGTCATGGGGTTGTACTACTTCATAGCAATTCCCAGTTACTGATCATCAAGCTGACAGGTTGGTTTGCTCCTCAGGTGGCCAGCGATGTGTATCCATGGTGACAAGACTCAGCCAGAGAGAGACTGGGTGCTGACAGGTAAGACGTTGGTTTATTATGAGTATTATATGGGCTAGTATAGGGCTAATTGGTATTGGTTGTTGTCATGACGCATTCCTTTGTGTCCCTCAGCTGATCTCTCTTGGTATTTCCTCTCCTTTTATAGAGTTCCGTAGTGGCAAGGCTCCTATTCTTATTGCTACTGATGTGGCCTCACGTGGTTTAGGTATGTACTGTGAGCTCAGAATAAAAGCACAATCCCTCTGCATTATTACAAACACAGACATATTCCCTCCATGGGCTATGAGTAGGACAGCTAATGGTGATTAGATGTACAAGTATACTAGCCCCACTGCATGTAAGAATCCCAAGAAATTTATAGATTTATTGAATTCATGAAATGGCCACCTAAAAACACATTGAAGCAGATTTCTGTGAGTACTGTTGCCACTTTGTTTAATATGAAGTGTGGCGTTCTTGTCATCAGTACTTCTTAGATACAGAGTATATATTTAAGAACAATGCCTTATTTCTGGAACTGATTTTCCTTTGTGGAATGCCAGGTCCCTTGAAAAACAGGGCTAGAAAAATCCAACCAATGAGTACATCTAAAAACATATAGTAATTTGAGCTACCTTTTGTCAGTGTGTGAAGTATGAACTTAAAATAAGGGTATGGAGAGTGATGCACCCCCTTATTGCAATCAATTTTTTTAACCAAATTTTGTTTTGTTTCTGTGTTCATTTATTTTCTTTCATTTTGTTTTGTTTCCAAGTCTCTCTTCCGGCACTAGAAGCGCACAGGCCCACGGGAGCCTGCAGCCGGACCTAGGCATGACTAATCGAGCCTGAGTTGCGGAGAGAAACACAGGGGAGAGGAGGCCTGATTTATCAATCCCAGACACAGCCATCTCTCCGAAAACCCAGAACAGAGCCCTCAAAAAAACTCTCCCCCTTCCAGCAAACTGACTGCCTGGACGACAGAGGGGTGGGGAGGAGGGGTGCTGCTGGGATTCCAAATTTTAAACTGGGGCGGGCGGTCAGCTCAGAGGGCCAAGAGGGGGGCGGCCTCCCTCAAGCTAAGCCATCAGCCTGCAACAGTAATGCACCACATGTAGTTCATTTAGTAAATTACACTAATATAGCTACACAATGCTAAGCAGGTTTGTTTCACTAAACAGTTTTAAGGTTTTCAGAGGATTTCTCCATTCCCTTTGCTAATATAGAACGTTTTCAAAAAAGCCCTAGTTACACATCTTTGAAGATACTAAATTAGGTTTGGCATCATTGGAGATCAATTGATTGATAAGAAGTTTGCCAGAAACATTCTTAAAGTAATTCTAGCATATAGTATAGCTAGTCTTAAATGTAGACAAATAATTTCCCCAGAGGTTAATAGATACAGTGGTGCGTTACAAGAAGACAGGAAAAGGCGGCAGGCCGAGCGTGGGTCGCTATGCTGGAGGCTCCCCTCTAAACTGCCCCTGCAGCCCCCTATGCAGCCTGACAACCCCCACCACTGGCTGTGCCGGCCTCTCCCTCTGCGGGCGTCATGTCTGGTCCTGGCTGGCAGGAGTCCTGGCCTGAAGGAGCCTCTATATATCCCCCCCTCTCTCTGTCTCTCTCTATCCTTCGTTCTCTCTGCCCACCCCCTTAATCTCTCACACTTTACACTGTCCATTTACCCGTTCATAGTCCACTGTTTAGAGATACTTTCTCTTTCTAACTCTTGCTATGCTTATTCTGACCTTGGTCATGTGATCCCTTGGCCTTCTTCCCCAATCTTTCATGCTTTCATCTCTTTACTTCAAATATCGAATTACTCTTTGTTTGCATCATGCAAAGACAACCCAGACCTGTAGAAATTATTCAGAAAAATGGAAACGTTCTACCCGTGCTCAGCAAACCCCAGTCAGAATCCATGTCCTGACAAAATCGGTATATACCCCCCTCTACAAATGCTCATGTTCCCTGACAAAGTCCCTTTATGTTGAGTATTTTAGCTCCCCAAAACCTCCACATCGCCACCCCAGTGTCTGTTTCTTGTTACTGCACTTGAACCCCTGGGCTCCTGGACACGCTGCCAGTCTGGGAAGGACCCAGGGGGACTTCCCTGGGTCTCTTCCATTTGTCTCCTCTGAACAGATTTCTACCAAAGACCTTGGATAATCTCAACAACAACCCCAGAAAATATCCCCCAAACTAGAAACGGGAGAGAATGCTTACCATACAGGTAGTTACAGTAAGTCCATGTTTAGACCCCTGAAGTTGAAGTACCCAACAGTACAGAAACAGTAGCCCAATTTCCCCTGTTCATGCCCCTGATGAACAACCTCAATCTCTCCCAGGCTGAAAGAAGCAGGGAGACGTGAAGAGGCAGAGCGAGGGTGTGGTGTCAGACCCAGTCCAGCCTGGGTTCTGGCTCTGCCACTCCAGTTGGGAGGGATGTGTGGAGGAGTGATGGGAGGGGGGGAGGACCCATGTTGTCCTCCTCACTCTCCTACCCCTACAGACCTCCCAGGACTGGTCAGGGGGGGACAGAGGGCGCTAACCTTGTAAGTCATCTCTAATACGGGGTAAGTACCTCACCCCCCCCTTCCCTGTTCCCATCCACCTCATCGATCCGTAAGAAAAAGGAGACATTTTTAACCCACAGCAGTGTTTTCAGAGCCCTATGTCAACTGTAATGAGAAACAGACTTTAAAAGAAATCTTTACTAAATTCAAACCTTTAAAGAAATCTTACCCTTTGCCTGTTTTGTCAATGGATACAGATGTACCCCATTTATTTCCACTCAAAATGGGGATGTTCAAACCCTATTTTTAATTATTTAGTCTATCTGGCTATGAATCTGGTATTGATTGGCTGTTATAGTAACGTTTTGGTCAAGAAGAAGCAGTAGATTCAGTGCTTGACCAAAAGCATTGGATTCATTTGAAATGTAGAGTGGCTGGAATACTGAGGAGCCCATTGCAATTTTCGAGCAACATAATGTATTGGTTAACAAAAAATATTTACAGTATTTTGGGGTAGTTATTTTGGATTAAAGTTTTTCTGCATTATGTACCGATTAGATTGTTCAGCCTTCACTAGACAGGTAAGTGAGGTTTCAGAGTTTAATCTATGTCTTATGGGTATTGTCTGTACCAAGTAGATTTCTAGTTTTGCTTGGTGCACAAAACAAATATCTTAAAATAGGAATAAATGAACTCTCCATTCCTCTCCCTGACCTTTCCACAGGTGGCATATTTATTGTTGTGTAATGTTTCTATCAATCAATGCTGCTTTTCATAACTTGTCCTCGTCTCTTCTCCCCCATTGACTAACCCTCCCTACCCCACTCAATTACCCCAACTCCTAACCCAAGATGTGGAGGATGTCAAATTTGTCATCAATTATGACTACCCCAACTCCTCTGAGGACTACATCCACCGTATCGGCCGTACGGCCCGTAGCACCAACAAGGGTACGGCCTACACGTTTTTCACCCCAGGCAACCTTCGTCAGGCCCGTGAGCTCATCCGTGTGCTAGAGGAGGCCCGGCAGGCCATCAACCCAAAGCTGCTGCAACTGGTAAACACAGGCCGTGGAGGAGGTGAGAGAATGAGGGAGGGCCTTCAAGGGAAATGTCTGGAAGGAAAGAGTTGCCCCTCTACATTTTTTTGAAGTGATTGACAGTGGGCTGTTGACTTTTGAGGTTTCTTCATTGTACTTTGAACAAGCTAGTTTTTTACAGTATGTGTTGGTGTGTCCAGGTATGTGCAGCATTTTATAAATCGGACTGCATCTTCTCCTCTCTTTGGAATGCAGGCAGCAGGTCACGTTACAGTGGCAACGGCTCCAACGCCAATAACCCCAACCTGATGTATCAGGATGAGTGCAACCGGCGCATGCGCACCGTGAGCGGGGGCAGCAAGGACAGCCGGGGGGGAACAGCAGCAGCAGCTTCAGCCGCGACAGCCGAGGTGGAGGGAGCAGCCGCGCCGGGGACAGGTCGTCCTCTTCCTCCTCTTCTTACAGGGACAGGGGCAGCAGGGACAGCCGCAGCTATGGCTCCAACTCCAGCTCCTCCTACGACCAGTACCAGAGCGGGAGCAGCCAGTATAAGTCCGGGAGCAGCGATGGGGGGCAGGATCAGTCAGCGGGGCAGTTTGGTTCAGTCAACAGGTCCAGTCAGCCCCCTCCAACCCCCATCAGGGCCGCAGCCCCTCATGGCCCAGAAGGTTACCCCAGCCCAGCCCATGATGGGATTAATGGGGCACTCGCCCTTCCAGTTTGCTCCCCCACCCCCTCCAACCTCACAGAGGAAGTAAAGCTGGGGATAGCCCTCACCACACATGCATACAATCCCCAACATCAACCAGAAAAGTCAGTTGTGTAAGGATTTAGATTGTCAAGTTTGGAGATTCTGGAGTACTGTGCTCAAAATATTGGCCTTAGCTGACATAAAGCCAGAGGTGTTTGGTAGATTGGTGAGCGTTAAAATTAAAAAGTCAGCCGATTTGTTGTGGACATTCATCAACATTCCAATAATAAACAAGCAGTTTGACATCAGTGCTTTGAAATGATTTTTTCTAAGCATTAAAATAGCTATGCAGATGATTGTCCTTCAAGGAGTTAGAAGACCACAATTAAAGTGGAATACATTTGTGCTGAAATTGAATCCTTATAAATTTGCAGATGATGAAAATGAAATGGTGTACTTTCATTGAAGTGCCATCTAATTAGTTTGTTTCATGTTGCTTTTCCCACAAAATACATATCCAGTGCTGTCAACAGTTAAGTCTGGTTAAGTGTAACCTTTTCCGCATATTATTGTCCTCAAACTTAAAGGTTAATTCATTATTGTACAAACCGGCGTTCTTATTATAGTGAACTAGTGTTATTTTGCCTTTAGGTGTATCAGAGGTAGGTGCTACAGTTTCTCTACAACTTTTTTTTTCTCAGCTCATTCAGATGTTTCGCTTTTGGTTCTTCAGCTTTAGTGTTTGTATACAAGTGATTTTCCCATTTAGAATTTCTCTGAAAAAGGTGATTAGTAATTCAGTTCCAGTACAGTATTTTGAAATATGGATAGACATTTCCTGTCATTAGGTTATTCCTAGACTTCTAAAAAGATATTAAACTTTAGTTTGTTCATTCAAACCTTTATACTTATGGTTACACTTGTTTGTTTTTTTGATGTTGATAGGGATCATTCAACCCCTCGGTAGTTGTAGCATATTTCATTTTTGTTTCATGGTCTTGGGATATTGTTTCTCTATTGAACTCTGTAAACCTATCACATGCTTGTTTCTTCCTAGTGTAGGGATGTATAGGTTTGTGCTTAGCTGCTTCTCTGTCCTTTCTGTATAGTTGAATCATTCTAGTATGTAGACAAGACTGACATGTAAAAGCACTTTTTTTACTGTCTGGTTTTGTTTTTCAGATTTCAATAAAGTTTCTGTACTCCACTAGGTGAGGTATTATTGATTGTGCTCCAACTACTGCTCTTAAAACTACCATTGTGCGAATGAGTTTGGTTAAGACTGTCAGACTCCATCTTAATTAATGACAAACAGTTTAAACCCCAAGAAATTATATTACTCTTAAATATTTTCAATAATGTTCTCTTTGCACTTGGCAAATGTACATAACAGAAGTTCCAACATTTACATAGTTGTATTGGAGAGCCTTTGAGGAAGGAGTGATTCAGCAAGACTGAAAGAACTTGACATACATTCATCTTTCTCTAAAACAGACTTCTTCCCGGAACAGGTAATCTATGAAGCTGCTAGGAGTAAAAGACTCATACCCAAACTCATATTTACATATGCAATGTCTGAAAAGCTTTATGGATCAAATGAGTAACCGGTAAAACCAAGAAACCATCCAAATGGACATGACCGTGAAAACAAAACTTAAATAGGCACAAATGGCAGATTAAATAGGACTTCAGTGTTAGAATGAGTGTCTAATTTTACATGACAAGGACATGAGGCAAATCATTCTCCGTGCAGAAGGAGAGGAAGAGTGCTCCTTCATTATCACATTAAGCAAACCTGGCACGGTGGGGTAAACACAGAACGTCAGCAGGGCATTCAACAGGACAGTCTACAGCTATATAAAAGAGACACAAAAGATAAAGATGAGCCTTCCACAAAACCTCCCAAAGGGTCCATTGCATGTCTCCCGGATCATGAAAGTAAACAAATAGGTTGTCTCTTCCCTTCATAGAATTTATACTAACTGTTAAAAACAAGACATGGCTGTAACACATAGTACTATTGCATGTTTGAAAGCAGCCAAAGAAAGTTCTGTAAAGATGCACAGAGGACATTACTCCAAAGCATAAAGCGTACAAACAGTTGAGATTGGCTAAGCAAGGTAATGAATAGAAATATAGAAGCATGTTTAAAAAGCAAGGTTTATGCCGTGTCTGAGTGTGGGATGCAAAGGCTCATAGCAGAGCCAAATATTGTCAATCTGTTGAATGTTAATGATTGCCCCACGTGTCTGAAGGTGGAAACTGTTGTAAAACTCCACTTTCATCATGGTCTTCCTCTCCTAGCGTGAAGGTTAGCCTGTATTGCAACTGCACCTTCTCCTGGAAAGAAGAGAATTCAGGGTTGAATAAGTGTTGCAGAAATCTATTTGGCTTTATAATTACAAGAAATGTTAATGTTGGGGATGCCACAGGGGTATATAACAGGCTTTCAATTAGTGTCTATACAGTCTGGTACCTTGTGAGGGTTGGCCAGCAGCATGATCTGTGTGATGGCAGCAGGTGGAAGGATGGGGTTGAAGGCTGGAAGCTCTGTTCCTGATGGGGGCTGTAGCTTCACTCTCATTGTCTACAACAGAGGACATGCTGTCAACCCTACACTGACAATGGAACGGAAGGTGAAAAGACAGATTAAGAGAGAAGAGGTCTTACGTTAGGGACAGAGGACTGGAAGAGGATGTTGCTGACTGGAACCGGGGCGGAGGAGAGCATGGAGATGATCACCACCAGCACATCAGGAAGAGAGGGCGGAGAGTCACGTGCAAAGTGGAAGAGCACCCGCAAACTGTGGCCGTCAAACACCGTCACAGGCAACAGGCTGCCTGGAGACAACAGAGCAAGTTTAAAAGACTGTTCAAATGTGATGGACTATTAGCATAGCAAGTAGATACTATAAATATTATAGATACTTACTGGGCTTAATGGACTCAAGCGGCACAAAAACATCTGTCAGGGTCATTTCTATAGGGGGAATGACTGTGTGAACCGGAGAGGTGTCCAACAACCTATCACCTAGGAGAGCCACTGGGTGCTCAGGGGAGAAGGCTGGGATAGGACTTGGATTAGTTCCAGATTTGTTCTGGAGATCTCGTAGAGTAGGTTTGAACGGTTGCTTGTCCCTGAAAATAGATATGGGTACTACAAAGGTTGAACAATGTTGCTGAGTGTCTGTCATGATGTTACAACAAGTTGGCATGGTCAACACCTCATGATTCTTCATATATTGTTGTTTCGCTTCTACAGCACTTGAAGTGACTTTTTAAATCATAATGAATACAGTGGTCCATCAATACTGTACTAAGCAGCAACATAACTGGCAGACTAACACAGATACTTAACACAAACATCTCCTGCGGTGTAAAACCATCCCATGGTGAAGGGTTAGTTACCATTTGACCTGCAGGCCCTCTGGAGGTAGGGACTGCTGCAGCAGCGTCTTCCCCAGCAGATCCAACTCATCTAAGGCTGAACTTCCAGACGTGGCTCCAGTGGAAAGAGGCTGGATGTAGGGGGGCGGATCTGGACTCAGTAATACACTGGGCGCTGCTGGGATATCAACACTGTCGGAAGACTGTTGCAAAGAAAGCGACGCCATGTGTAAGACAGAGACGTTACACTTGTTTTTAGGTATAAATCATGAACCTGCCCAAGTAATGGCAATCTATCAAGCTAAAAGGGACTCAATGGATTTGGTGTTAACTGTGAATATTATCCATCATCTCACATCATGTCTCCCTGTGTGAAGTGCTCAGTTCTCCCCCTCACCTGGAAAGAGTCCCAGGCGGTAGAGTCCTCAGGCTGGGAGGCCGGACTGGAGGTGTGGGTCCCCTCACTCAAAACTTGGAAAGATAGGCACAAAGTGACCCATAATGAACACACACAACGTGGAAGTAGCAGAGGTCTTGGAAGACTTAATGTAATATGTTGTCTGCTCTTACCTAGTGACATTAGCTCATCGTCAAGGAGACTGATGCCCATCTCCTGAGAGGGAGCATTTAGGCTGTCTGTTGGAGTGGGGAATTCTGGGTAGGAATGAGGTGACTGGGGCGATGTGTCCAATCCCGATAGATCACGCAGCGCCGTACTACTTCCTGTAAGAGATAAGTGTACAGTGAGAGCTCATCTTTAGCCCATGCATGTAATCATATACTCTACTCCACTCCTATGAAGCTTGTGTCAAGTGACCCTATCGTCCCTATGGATGTCTCATTGACCCATTGCTGCTCACCTGTGAGCCTTTGTGTGTTAGCTGAATTGTTCCCGTTCACCACCTCCCCCTTCACCTGCTGCCTGTACAGGTTGATGACCTGAGTCAGGCTGTCGTTGGCCTGGAGGATCTCCGCTGCCCACACACACAAGGAGAAACAATTGTTATATACTGTACATCGTCACCCACATATTCTTCTCTCTCTGTACCTCTGTAATCGTAAAAGCCTTGGTTTCTTGCACATCAATATCCGAAGCCTCCTCCCTAAGTTTGAGTTATTCACTGCGTTAGCACACTCCGCCAACCCTGATGTTCTAGCAGTGTCTGAATCCTGGCTTGGGAAGGCCACCAAAAATTCTGAAATGTCCATCCCCAACTACAACATTTTCCGTCTCGATAGAACTGCCAAAGGGGGAGGGGTTGCAATCTACTGTAGAGATAGCCTGCAGAGCTCTATCGTACTATCCAGGTCTGTGCCCAAACAGTTTGAGCTTCTACTTCTAAAAATCCACCTTTCCAGAAATAAGTCTCTCACTGTTGCCGCTGGCTACAGACCCCCCTCAGCCCCGAGCTGTGCCCTGGACACCATATGTGAACTGATTGCCCCCCATCTATCCTCAGAGTTCGTACTGCTTGGTGACCTAAACTGGGATATGCTTAACACCCCGGCCAACCTACAATCTAAACTAGATGCCCTCAATCTCACACAAATTATCAACGAACCTACCAGGTACAACCCTAAATCTGTAAACATGGGTACCCTCATAGATATCATCCTGACAAATTTACCCTCTAAATACACCTCCGCTGTCTTCAACCAGGATCTCAGCGATCACTGCCTTATTGCCTGCGTCCGTAATGGGTCCGCGATGAAACGACCACCCCTCATCACTGTCAAACGCTCCCTAAAACACTTTAGCGAGCAGGCCTTTCTAATTGACCTGGCCCGGGTATCCTGGATGGATATTGACCTCATTCCGTCAGTAGAGGATGCCTGGTTGTTCTTTCAAAGTGCTTTCCTCTCAATCTTAAATAAGCATGCCCAATTCAAAAAATGCAGAACTAAGAACAGATATAGCCCCTGGTTCTCCTCAGACTTGACTGCCCTTGACCAGCACAAAAACATCCTGTGGCGTACTGCATTAGCATCGAACAGCCCCCGCGATATGCAACTTTTTAGGGAAGTCAGGAACCAATATACACAATCAGTTAGGAAAGCAAAGGCTAGCTTTTTCAAACAGAAATTTGCATCCTGTAGCACTAACTCCAAAAAGTTTTGGGACACTAAAGTCCATGGAGAATAAGAGCACCTCCTCCCAACTGCCCACTGCACTGAGGCTAGGAAACACTGTCACCACCGATAAATCTACAATAATCGAGAATTTCAACAAGCATTTTGCTACGGCTGGCCATGCTTTCCACCTGGCTACCACTACCCCGTCCACCAGCTCTGCACCCTCCGCTGCAACTTGCCCATGCCCCCACTGCTTCTCCTTCACACAAATTCAGACAGCTGATGTTCTGAAAAATCTGGACCCCTACAAATCAGCTGGGCTAGACAATCTGGACCCTTTCTTTTTAAAATTAGCCGCCGAAATTGTCACAACCCCTATTACTAGCCTGTTCAACCTCTCTTTCGTAACGTCTGAGATCCCCAGAGATTGGAAAGCTGCCGCGGTCATCCCCCTCTTCAAAAGGGGGTGACACTCTAGATCCAAACTGTTATAGACCTATATCCATCCTGCCCTGCCTTTCGAAAGTATTTGAAAGCCAAGTTAACAAACAGATCACCGACCATTTTGAATCCCACCGTACCTTCTGCTATGCAATCCGGTTTCCGAGCTGGTCATGGGTGCACCTCAGACACACTCAAGGTCCTAAACGATATTATAAAACGCGATCGATAAAAAAGACAGTACTGCGCAGTCCGTCTTCATCAACCTGGCCAAGGCTTTCGACTCTGTCAACCACCGCATTCTTATTGGCAGACTAAATAGCCTTGGTTTCTCTAATGACTGCCTCGCCTGGTTCACCAACTACTTCTCAGATAGAGTTCAATGTGTCAAATCGGAGGGCCTGTTGTCTGGACCTCTGGCCGTCTCTATGGGGGTGCCACAGGGTTCAATTCTCGGGCTGACTCTATTCTCTGTGTATATCAATGATGTTGCTCTTGCTGCTGGTGATGCTCGGATCCACCTCTATGCGGACGACACCATTTTGTATACATCTGGCCCTTCATTGGACACGGTGTTAACAAACCTCCAAACGAGCTTCAACGCCATACAACACTCCTTCCGTAGCCTCCAACTGCTCTTAAACACTAGTAAAACTAAATGCATGCTCTTCAACCGAACGCTGCTTGCACCCGCCAACCCGACTAGAATCACTACTCTCGGCGGGTCTGACCTAGAGTATGTGGACAACTACAAATACCTAGGTGTCTGGTTAGACTGTAAACTCTCCTTCCAGACTCACATTAAGCATCTCCAATCAAAAGTTAGATCTAGAATCGGCTTCCTATTTCGCAACAAAGCCTCCTTCACTCATGCTGCCAAACATGCCCTCGTAAAACTGACTATCCTACCGATCCTTGACTTCGGCGATGTCATTTACAAAATAGCCTCCAACACTCTACTCAGCAAATTGGATGTAGTCTATCACAGTGCCATCCGTTTCGTCACCAAAGCCCCATATACTACCCACCATTGTGACCTCTACGCTCTTGTTGGCTGGCCCTCGCTACATATTCGTCGCCAAACCCACTGGCTCCACGTCATCTATAAATCACTGCTAGGCAAATCCCAGTCTTATCTTAGCTCACTGGTCACCATAGCAACACCCACCCGTAGTCTGCGCTCCAGCAGGTATCTCTCACTGGTCATCCCCAAAGCCAACACCTCCTTTAGCCGCCATTCCTTCCAGTTCTCTGCTGCCAATGACTGGAACGAACTGCAAAAATCTCTGAAGCTGGAGACTCTTATCTCCCTCACTAACTTTAAGAGTCAGTTGTCAGAGCAGCTTACCGATCACTGCACCTGTACACAGCCTTTCTGAAATTAGCCCACCCAACTACCTCATCCCCATATTGTTATTTATTTTGCACCCCAGTATCTCTATTTGCACATCATCTTTTGCACATCTATCATTCCAGTGTTATACGAAATTGTAACTATTTTGCACTATGGCCTATTTATTGCCTTACCTCCATAACTTACTACATTCGCACACACTGTATATATATTTTCTATTATATTTTTGACTGTATGTTTTGTTTACCCCATATGTAACTCTGTGTTGTTGTTTTTATCGCACTGCTTCGCTTTATCTTGGCCAGGTCGCAGTTGTAAATGAGAACTTGTTCTTAACTGGCTTACCTGGTTAAATAAAGGTTAAATAAAAAATGAATAAAAAAAACAATGAGGAGTGTCTGAAAACTCACCCAGAGCCTCATCATTGTCCTCTGTCTCACTGGCCAGTCTGAACAATGTGGGTCTCATCTTCTCACAGCGCTGGTACAAGTCCTAAACACACAAATACACACTATCAAATGTCTGTATCTGCATGCAGTGCTTTGTATACATCATATATAGGTGATGCTGTTATGGCAATGTGGGAGGTGTCTCTGTGGTTTGTCATAGCATGGTGTTGCTTGTGTATCAGTGACACAGACCTTGATGAGCTCTGCATTGCTCTGTAGGTTGGTGGTCCTGTCGTAGTCCTCCAGCAGCTGAGTCAGTAGGCTGACACTCTCGTTCACATCCTGGATGGCGTTCACACGCTTGGACACCTTCTCCGCCCGCTTCTGGTCCTGAGACACACACACGGGTCAGGAAGAAGAAACCAGGGAGGGAAGAGGGGGAAGGAAATGATCCTTTGTCCCTAAACTAAGGACAGATTCATGAAAACACTGAATGATTCTGACAAGGAGTCAACCCCTCAGGGCAGAGCACCCACTTTCTCACTCAGTCCCCTTACACGACAGTATAGTACTAAAGCATTTGGGCATTCTCTTTCTCTCCCATACTAACACACAGACTAGATAATACAGTTCATACTGTGCGATGTGATGTGCATATCTGTATTACTGTAATGTAACTTCCTATATATCTATTTTATTCATACATTTACGTGAGCTTGAGAAAAGAGACTGTACCTCCTGCACCATTTCCTTGATCAGTTTGTTGGCTGCTTTCAGGTCCTCAGGGTGAGTGCTGTTCAACAGGCGAGCCAGTGTCTACCAAGACACCAGGGACACCAAGAATTTAAAGTTAGAGAGAGGGGGTGGTAAATGGAGTGGAGAATGCATGGTGAATCACATTTGTAATGCAACATTTGAAAAAAATACTTGTATGTTTCTTTTGTTTAACAATGCATTACCTTTGACTTCTCCTCATCTTCAAATATGGCATTTTTTGGTCTGGGAGGTGGAAGCGGGAGGAGTTTGTCAGCTGGAAGAACTGGGTCCTGTTTGACAATGCCTGGTTTAAAAAAAAAAAACATAAACCAAGGTAAACATAACATTAACAACTACCTAAACAACAACTGTGCGTCCATCACTATCATAAATACACTGCAGTCACTAAGTGTAGAACAGCTCACCCTGTTTTTTAAGCATCTGGTAGGCATCAGCGATCTTTGCCTCGTCAGGCAGCCCCAGTGTCCAACTATAAATGAGCTCCAACACCTTCTTCTTCACTGGCTCTGGAGCCCGGGTGCCGAGGTACTGAGGGAGAGAGCAGGAGCATGCTGAGTGATAGAGCTTATCCAATCTTAACATACTTGCTCAGTGAAAGGCACAGACAGAGCCAATCATTACCTTTGGAGAGACCACTTTGATGAGCTCGTTGAGGAAGCGAAACTTGCCCACCTCACTATGGAACCTTTCCCCACAGCTCTTCATGCACGTCTCCAGCACCTGGTTGTACACACATCACAAGTGAGTCACACAATTAATTTCTTCAATATGAATGTAGGCACACACACTACACAGAAGGCTGTCAATTGTATTGGCTCTGATTCCCATTACAACACACTGCCATCACTCAACTCACCATGAGTGCCTGCATGGCCTCCCACTCCTGAGGTGACTGGATCTTGTGAGCCAGTAGCCTTGTGGCCAGCTGGGGTCTGAAATGGAACATAAAGAGTTTGATGGGAATGAAGTTGGCAGCAAATCTATCTACCATTGACTATTGTACAACATGCAATATTGCCTCTCCCTCTACTCTAGACAACACCATGTTTTTTAATTGAATGACACAGATGTCAGCACAGGGTCAGTGTCAGAAATCTTAAAGGTGCAATATGAAGAAATTGCGCCGCCATTTCCTGGTTGCTAAAATTCTAATAGTTTACCTAATTTCAGTTTATGTGGTAAATCATTGTACCATCTAAACCGCTGTGAAATATATTTTCAATAATGACAAATATTGTATTTTCAGCTGTATGAAGTTGGTGTACAAAACCAAAAAATGCAAAAACGAAAGTTAAGAATGGGAAGCATAGAAACAGAGCACATAGAACAAATCTACCGCTTCTTAGACTTGCTTTCAATGAGAATGACAGATCTCCCGAGTGGCGCTGTGCCACTATAGATCCTGGTTCGAATCCAGGCTCTGTCGTAGCCGGCCGCGACCGGGAGACCCATGGGGCGGCGCACAATTGGCCCAGCGTCGTCCAGGGTAGGGGAGGAAATGACCGGCAGGGATGTAGCTCAGTTGGTAGAGCATGGCGTTTGCAACGCCAGGGTTGTGGGTTCGATTCCCATGGGGGGCCAGTATAAAAAATATAAATAATAATGACGTATGCACTAACTGTAAGTCGCTCTGGATAAGAGCGTCTGCTAAATGACGTAAATGTAAAATCTATAACTCACATTCCTGTGTGAATTTGGTTGGTAGCCCAAAAAGTTATATTGCAGCTTTAAGTAACAAGCATGTACTCAGTACAGCTACTCCTGAGAGGTGAAAACAATAGTGCTAAGACGTGTACATGTTATTAGACACTGACATTCACATACCCCTCCAAATCATTGTTGAGCTGGTCACAGAAGGCCTGGATGCTGTCCCAATCTGTGTCTCTGTTTAGTGGGTTTGTGGCCTTGTCTGTAATTGGAGAATTAAGGAAATTGGGAAAAGGGGAAGCAAAGGTTAATCAGAATATTTTTTCGATAGTAAATGACACATATCCATGTTTAATTCAGGAAACTGTCAAAAATGAAGAACATCAATCAATTCTGTTGCATAACTGTTTTAAAACAGATAATTGCAAGTACTTTAGCTGTCCAGCAGTAACGTTACTTTGGACGACTTTGCAAGGGACTCCAACTCTCTCACTGACGGAGTGAGCTAGGCGTCTTGCATTTGACAGCACACTGTCACATAGCTAAGCTTATAGTCACTATGGCAGGATATGAATTCACGATAGGTGGCTTGCTGGTTCCCGTATCTAGCAAGAGTTTGATGCATTCTCTCTAGTCTAGATGGTTCTGGGAATCTATCTGGCTAACTAACTAGCTAGCCAAACAGCTAGCTTGCTAATTAGTTAGCGTGCTGTTTATGAGAGGTCTACAGTCCCTCCCAGATTGCACCTTGATTTTGCTTAAACTGTCATCTCGGTCGACTGCGAAACGGTTATTTTCCAAGAATGTATGCTCCAATAGCTCTCTCTACAGCCTAAATAACTTTTAAAATACTTACTGATACGTGACTCCAAACTCTCCGTGTCAGGCGGCGCCGCCATCACTACGGGAATTCCCTTTACCATGAAAGAGTCTCGCGAGGAACAAATTTGAGAGCTCCCCTTTTCACCTCTTCAACAGTGATGGATGGATGTTGAACGCAATGACAGCTGGCACTGGCGCATAAGAATATATAACACATAAAAAGGTTATCATACTCAACCTTCTCGATCATACTGTAGTTGTTTATTGTCAACCTGTGCAACCAGTTTCAGATTTATACCTGTTTTCTCTACCCTCTAGTGGCACATAGGTGTGTGTATATACAGTACAGTTACCGTGTGGTACAGTAACGGGTTTGTTTAGGTGTTTATTCTGTGTGGTCAACTCTTCGGGATAGTACATTATTTCGGAAAGCCACGAGCGCGAAACAAAGTAACACCTTTATGAAAATGTAACCCAAAAGCGATTCGAACGAAAACATACTTTAGTGAAGAGATTTATTGTTGTGGCAACATTGTACAGCAAATCAACCCGCGAAAGCGGACGTTGCTCGCTATTTTTTACTTCAAGGATCTACTTCGCTGAGATTAGAGAATTTGGGGGAACACATTGGAAGCAAGTTACAAGTGAAGTCACACAGGTTTTATCAGTAAAAACAAGCTAACGTAGCTAGTGGATGTGCTACATAGCATTGAAGATCCAGGATCTGACAGGTTGAGGTTGAAGTGGTTGTTGACTTTATCAATTTAAAATGGGAGGATGAAATTCTATCATGGGGTCATTGAAAGCTTTACAGGAATGGTGTCGCATAAAATGCGAAAATTACCCCAATGTGGAGATAAGGAACATGTCTTCTTCATTCAGAGATGGACTGGCGTTTTGTGCCATAATCCACAAACACCGACCTGATTTGATGTAAGTATATAAAATAAGTTAGAATAGGAATGTGAGCTCTCCTGTGAGCTTCCCCATCCTCTCTACTACTGCGGGCCATCACTGGCACCAAGTCTCCCACACAATCCTACCCTTGTAGCTCTGCCCCAGTCAGTGTGTGTGTTGAATGTGAGTAGATTGTTGACAGTAGGCCTATAGGACGCACAGTCAGACTCAGTTCCTGCCTGTCCTTAGGCTGATCCAGACTCTCTAATCTGTAGCTGTAGCAGGGACCTGAATGCTGTCACAGTGGATTTGTCTGCCCTGACACACGGAACCACAGCATGGCCTAAGCTCCAAGTTAACTCTCCTTAATCTTCCTCTCGCTCTATCCTTTCCTCTCCCCCCTCCATTCTTTAATGGAAACGTCTCTAATGTTAAACATGTAAAGTGTGGTGTACCGCAGGGCAGCTCTCTTGGCCCTCTACTTTATTTTTTATTTTTACTAATGACCTGTCACTGGCATTAAACAAAGCCTGTGTGTCTATGTATGTTGATGATTGAACCCTTCATGCGTCAGCAACCACAGCTAGTGAAATCACTGGAACCCTAAACAGAGATTTGCAGTCAGTTTTAGAATGGTTGACCAGTAATAAACTAGTCCTGAACATCTATAAAACTAAGAGCATTGTATCTGGTACAAATACAAAAAGTTCTAGACCTCAACTGAATCTGATAATCAATAATGTGGCTGTTGAGCAAGTTGAGGAGACCCACTTACTTGGTGTTACCTTGGATTGTAAACTGTCATGGTCAAAACATATTTATTCAATGGTTGTGAAGATGGGGAGAGGTCTGTCCGTGATAAAGAGATGTTCTGCTTTTTTGACACCACACTCCACAAAGCAAGTCCTGCAGGCTCTAGTTTTATCTTATCTTGATTATTGCCCAGTCATATGGTCAGGTCCTGCAAAGAAGGACCTACAAAAACTGCAGCTGGCCCAGAACAGAGCGGCACGTCTAGTTCTAAACTGTAATCAGAGGACTAATACCAATACTATGCATGCCAGTCTCTCTTGGCTAAAAGAAGAGGAGAGACACTTCTTGTTTTTATAAGAAACATTAATGTGTTGAAAATTCCAAATTGTTTGCATAGTCGACTTACACACAGCACTGACACACACACTTACCCCACCAGACATGCCACCAGGGGTCTTTTCACAGTCCCCAAATCCAGAACATATTCAAGAATATGTACAGTATTATATAGAGCCATGATTGCATGGAACTCCCTTCCATCACAGATTGTTCAAGTGAACAGCAAACCTGTTTTAAAAAACAAACAAACAGATAAAGCAACACCTCACGGCACAACGCCTCTCCTCAATTTGACTTAGATATTGTGTATTTATTGTTATGTAGGCTGTGTGATGTTTTACATTTATGTAGTTCTGTCCTTGAGCTGTTCTTGTCTATTAATGTTCTGTATTATGCTATCGCAGCAGCTAATGGGGATCCTAATAAAATACCCATTCCCTCCCTCCTCTTCATTACATCCCAGTGTTGTTGGTCAAATTATTATTTAGGGGTCTGTGATGGCCCATCATTTGTATCACATAGTACTATTCTGCTTTTACTCCAGAGACTTCAACTCCCTCTCCAAACATAATGTTTATGAAAACAATCATCTGGTGAGTTTTACGTAATTATGTTTTACCTGCATGCATGACTAACTGTCTCAACGCATGTTTATGTTCAAACATTGCACTACATCTGTTTATATTGTCCTATCTGTCTGGCATTTAATTATTGCTCCCTGTCTCCTACCAGGCATTTGAGGTGGCACAGTCAAAGCTGGGCATCCCTGCATTGCTGGATGCTAAGGACATGGTGTCCACAGAGGTGCCAGACCGGCTAAGTGTCATCACTTACCTCTCCCATTACTACCACTGCTTCAACAAGAAGTCTCATGGTGTGTGGCTAATTGTGTCATAGTCAAATTGGGAAAACAGCACATGCTGGGTTGGTTCCTCCTGTGTTTGTTTGTCAAATGTGTGTATATTCAAAATGTGCATCTTTACTAAGCAGCCAGTCCAGCCAGTTTGAAGACGCCATGTGTCGCAGAGTGCTCCAGTCACTCCAAGAAACAACCTGACTCTCCTGGAGGTTTAGAGCCATCTAAGGTAATGTAATAAAGTTGTAATGAAGCCATTTTTATTAGATTTGTATTTATTTATTATTACTTGATCTCAACTCTGTCCACAAAGTTATATATCTCAATCTCCTCTTTCTTCCCAAACTCTCACATTTCTTCTTCTTTACTGTTGCCTTTGGCTGACCTCACCCGCTCAACAGTCAAGGACAGAGGAGCGATCCATCAGAGGCAGGCCATGCAGCATTTGTGCCTCCTGCACGAAGCACGTCCACCTGGTGCAGAGACATCTCACTGAGGGGAAACTCTACCACCGCAGCTGCTTCAAGTAACAGCACTGCTCAGAAGGCAACGCTTATCCTTATCTGCAGACAGTGAAATATCATCTGTGATTTGTGTCCCTCTCATGTCATCCTGTGTTTCTCTTTCAGATGCAGTGTGTGCAGCAACACTCTCTTACCAGGGTCTTACAAAGAGGGGAGTGAAGTTGGCTCCTTGGTCTGCATCCACCACTTGACAGCCAGTCAAAATGCCCGCTCCGACTACAGTAAACAAACTGGATCAACAGAGAATCTACACAAATTAGATGAGCAGGAGGTGACACTATCTCAGGGTGGATTTACAGACAACCCCGATCTCCCTCATTTTATTGGAAAAACAGACTCAGGTGAGACAGTTATTTGTGGAAGAGGAGAGACAGAGACGGAGGGAGGTGAGAGAAAGACAAGGCAAGACACACTCAAGAAGCCAAGGCCACCCCGTCCTCCAAAGCCCATTGTAGAAGAGGGAACACTTGAAGATGCAGGGACACGGCCCATTCAGACAACAGAAACAAAGAGCCCAGATCCCTGTGGAAGCCCTGGACGGCCAGTACCTGCACCCAGACGGGTGTTAGACTCCACCCCTCCTCGTCCTGCACCCAGAACCCGTCTACCTAAAGCCTCTGTTCATCTCCCTCTCTCTGCAGGTTACCCAGTTGATAGAAAGACTTTACCCAATCCTTCTCGCAGGTGAGTTTGTTCATCAGACATAACACATTATGTAACTTTGAGTAGAATTGTCCAATGAATGCTTATTTATTTAACTTTTGACATCAGGTTTGGCCAACCCAGTGGGCCCCGTAAACCCAAAGACCCACCGTGGCTGGAGCTTGTCCAGCCAGGGCCCTGGCCCAAGCTGCCCCCTGCCCCGCCCCCTAGTATGCCCAAGCCCCCACGCTCAGGCTCTATACCCTCCCTCAGAGGGAGTTGGTACAGAGCGAGAGAACCCCCTCCCAACCCCTTTGGGGAGTTTGAGGATGAGGAGGCTGATGATGATTACACAGGGGAAGAGGGCACAATGAGAGGTGCTGAAGGCCAAGCACAGCCCTCAATGGTAACCAGCCAGACATGGTGTGGTACCAGTCAGTTAGCTGAAGCAGCCAGCTCACATTGCCAAGCTAATTTAGAGGACACATCCAGAGAAGTTGACAAGTCTAATCTTGCTGGAGCAAATGGCACAGTAAATTTACCTGAAATTGCTAATGCACCAAAGGTAGACAGTTTAGCTGAAGCAGGATGCTCACGTCCTGTATCTAATTTAGCTGAAGAAGCTGGTTCAACTGGTATATCTGAGTCAGCTGATGTTGGTGGGATAGCGAACATGGCTGAAGCAGCTGGCGCACTTGATGTATGTAATTTAGCAGATGTTGGAGTTGGAGAATCAACCAACTTGTCCAAAGCAGCTAGTTCACTTGATGTATCTAATCTATCTGAAGTAGCCAGTTCACTTGGTGTATCTGATCTAGCTGGAGCTGGTGGGTTAGGAGGTTTAGTTGGAGCAGTTAGTGCACCGAACATATCTAATTTAACTGAAGAAGCTAGTTCATATGGTGTTTCTGAAGCTTCTGCCGATTCACTTAGTGTGTCTAATTTAGCTGGAGCTGATGGCATATGCAGTGTAACTGGAGCACCAAGTGCTCTTGGCAAATCAGATATAGCCCAGAGCCTCTCTTTGCCCAAGAGTGTGTCTGTGCCAGCAATCTCCACTAGTCTTAGTTCCGCCTGTACTCAAAGCCACCCCCCACCAACCTTGTCAACCAATGGAGCAGCAGCCAGTCCCTCCCTGCTCAGACCCCCATCGCTCCCTAGTGTGTCTGAAGTGAGTGACTGTGACCAGGTGCCCACCCCCTCTCACAGTAAGGTAAGGTAAAATGCTGCTCTTTCGTATCCACTGATATCTACAGTGGGGAAAAAAAGTATTTAGTCAGCCACCAATTGTGCAAGTTCTCCCACTTAAAAAGATGAGAGAGGCCTGTAATTTTCATCATAGGTACACGTCAACTATGACAGACAAATTTAGAATTTTTTTCTCCAGAAAATCACATTGTAGGATTTTTAATGAATTTATTTGCAAATTATGGTGGAAAATAAGTATTTGGTCACCTACAAACAAGCAAGATTTCTGGGTCTCACAGACCTGTAACTTCTTCTTTAAGAGGCTCCTCTGTCCTCCACTCGTTACCTGTATTAATGGCACCTGTTTGAACTTGTTATCAGTATAAAAGACACCTGTCCACAACCTCAAACAGTCACACTCCAAACTCCACTATGGCCAAGACCAAAGAGCTGTCAAAGGACACCAGAAACAAAATTGTAGACCTGCACCAGGCTGGGAAGACTGAATCTGCAATAGGTAAGCAGCTTGGTTTGAAGAAATCAACTGTGGGAGCAATTATTAGGAAATGGAAGACATACAAGACCACTGATAATCTCCCTCGATCTGGGGCTCCACGCAAGATCTCACCCCGTGGGGTCAAAATGATCACAAGAACGGTGAGCAAAAATCCCAGAACCACACGGGGGGACCTAGTGAATGACCTGCAGAGAGCTGGGACCAAAGTAACAAAGCCTACCATCAGTAACACACTACGCCACCAGGGACTCAAATCCTGCAGTGCCAGACGTGTCCCCCTGCTTAAGCCAGTACATGTCCAGGCCCGTCTGAAGTTTGCTAGAGTGCATTTGGATGATCCAGAAGATGATTGGGAGAATGTCATATGACCAAAATAGAACTTTTTGGTAAAAACTCAACTCGTCGTGTTTGGAGGACAAAGAATGCTGAGTTGCATCCAAAGAACACCATACCTACTGTGAAGCATGGGGGTGGAAACATCATGCTTTGGGGCTGTTTTTCTGCAAAGGGACCAGGACGACTGATCCGTGTAAAGGAAAGAATGAATGGGGCCATGTATCGTGAGATTTTGAGTGAAAACCTCCTTCCATCAGCAAGGGCATTGAAGATGAAACGTGGCTGGGTCTTTCAGCATGACAATGATCCCAAACACACCGCCCGGGCAACGAAGGAGTGGCTTCGTAAGAAGCATTTCAAGGTCCTGGAGTGGCCTAGCCAGTCTCCAGATCTCAACCCCATAGAAAATCTTTGGAGGGAGTTGTAAGTCCGTGTTGCCCAGCGACAGCCCCAAAACATCACTGCTCTAGAGGAGATCTGCATGGAGGAATGGGCCAAAATACCAGCAACAGTGTGTGAAAACCTTGTGAAGACTTACAGAAAACGTTTGACCTGTGTTATTGCCAACAAAGGGTATATAACAAAGTATTGAGAAACTTTTGTTATTGACCAAATACTTATTTTCCACCATAATTTGCAAATAAATTCATTAAAAATCCTACAATGTGATTTTCTGGATTTTTTTTCTTCTCATGTTGTCTGTCATAGTTGACGTGTACCTATGATATGAAAATTACAGGCCTCTCTCATCTTTTCAGCTCAACCTGCCCAAAATACAGAACTTATAAGCTTGTATTACACAACACATAAATGTTATGCAAAGATATCAGGTTAAGTGAGTTTCAGACTGAAACTATTTTCCAACATGTTTAACATATAAGACAACATGTTTTTCTAAGATTCCTGCATAACAACATCTTCCCTGTACTGTAGGTTGTAGCCTAGTCAGGATAGCTGCTTGTACTGTGTGTGCTTGAATATTACAATTGTGCATTTCACAGAAATGTCTTCAATCTCCAATTTAGCAGGTGTGTAAGGAGAACCCTTTCAATCGTAAAGTCTCCCCCTCTGAGTTCCCCAAATCCAAGCCTGCCCCTGGACATGGCTTCCCCCTCATCAAGAGAAAGGTGAGAGGATATCTCAGTGTAATGAAATTAACCCATTATCCAGTGTTTTCTCCAAATCAGAACAGTCCCCTAGTACACATGCATGTCTCCTCAGGTGCAGACAGACAACTATGTCCCAGTGGAGGAGCTGCAGATGGAGCTGGGGGAGCTGGAGAAACGAATGGACAGGCTGGAGTTGAGAGGGGTGGAGATGGAGAGAAGCTTGAGAGACTGCCCGAATGGTGAGTGTCTGTAGTTGTAAGTGTCTGTAGTGTACACGGCAATGGAATAGTATTTTTTGTAACTGTAATGTATTGTACTTATTATTAACATCCAAGTAATTATTCAGGTTATCATATAAAGTGTTGTTGTGAGAGATTAATTGTTATTGATAAGACTAGTGTCGTCCACCTGTTTGTTTCAGACCAGCAAGAGGAGGACATGTTGGTGGACTGGTTCACTCTAATACATGAGAAACACATGCTTGTGCGCAGGGACGCAGAGCTGGTGTACATGTAAGTGCACTGACCTGAAATTATATCAAAGCAAGACAGCACCTTCATAACACCTTTATTATCTCAGCTTCTTTTATCATTCCCAACAAATGGACGGTGTCTCAGACATAAGTGTGTGTGTTGTAAATGAAATATTTATGGACCTGATGTGTTTGTATGTGCACTCCAAGGGCCAAGCAACAGAATTTAGAGGAGAGACAGGCAGACGTGGAATATGAACTGAGATGTCTCCTCAACAAGCCAGGTGAGTGGCCAGTCTTCACACAACCCTGCCTCAATTATCTACTACTCCTCAGCAATTATCATTCTGCTATTATTAATAATGTGTTATGTGTTGTTCTTTGACTAATCTAATTGTTTGTCTCTCCTCGTCTCCTCCTCCATCATCATCCCCCCAGAGTGTGAGTGGAGTAAGGATGACCGTAGTAGGGACCAGCAGTTGATGGAGGAGCTTGTCACCATCATTGAACAGAGGAACCACATCATCAACAGCTTGGATCAGGACCGGCAAAGGTGCATGAAAAACTCATAGATGAATACTGAGGGCCATTGATTCAGACAAATTTCATAAAGAAGTTAAATGATGCTCTTGCTCATACCTACCAATGGTTTGTATTTTTCAGGGAAAAAGAAGAAGATGTGCTGTTTTCCATGATAAAGAAGAAAGGTGAGGGGAAAGTATTTTCCAAGAGTGTTTATTGTGTTGTTGTCTTTACTGTTTTCCTGTGTCTGTTCACACTGTCTTTCATTCCTATTGTCTTTCATTCCTATTCCCTCAATACTACACCTCAGACTCCTTAATTTCTCAGAATTTGACCATGGTATCACTATTTCTCCATCCTCAGATTTTAAAAAAGAGTCTGGGAAAGACCTGAAGATGTTAAGAGCAAAGTTCAAGCCCATGAAGGTGCTGAAGATGCTGAGTCATAAAGACTCTAAGAGCAAAGGCTCTCAAAAGAAGAACTGAGTTGGAGTCGGGCTCACCCTATAAGGAAGGAACAAATTGGACTATATTTGTAAACAAATACACATTGAGCCACAATGGAATGCTTCATAATTGTAGAAGATTACGGGTAAGAGATGGAGACTCTTGGGCTGTGGATGAGAGTGGATAAGAATTAAGAGAAGCCTCTGATGCAGAGAATATGGATTTAATTCACAAGTGAAAAATACTATCCTCATTACACCTCCCCATTACACTGCACTTTTTGCACAAGATGTGCTTGCTCCTGCATTCAGTAAAGCCTCAGTCAGCCTAAGATGAGTTGCTGCATAGAATCATTCACTAATGGGATGAAAGATGACTCCTTGGTACATTTATTTTTGCAGCTGAACTTTTTTAAATTATATTTAATAAAACATTGTACTTTGTATGAACAGAATGCATTTGTATGATCATAATCTTTTGATAATGTTTAGATTTTAAATGTCCTTTGAATGTGTTTCTTCAAATGTACCTCATACACATGCCTAATGTATATTTCAAGTAAGTAGTACAGGCTAAACAGGGTCTTTGCTACTCCAGATTGTGGCAATGCTTTCCATTGCCTGTACAGTCTTATTTATCAGGCAAGGTCTTAGTGAGATTGAAATTCACACTGTATTCAGATCTTTGTTATTTATGTGTGGCCAACGTGGGAATTAACTACTTCTTGGTGATAGGTATTTTATCATGCTCAAAACTACATTCTAAGATCTGAAAATAAATGTTTAGCTAGTATAATACATTTGGAAACATAAGCCAACATTTATTTTTTAAACGATATATTTTTAAAACAAATATCTCGTTCATGTGTTGAGTTGCTCTGTGGAACCATATACTATGGTGCAGTTGTTAGTGTACCAATTAAGTCGACGCACCACGAGACCGGAAGTTGCGTAAACGAATTATATCAACAACGTCTTGAAATTCGCTATCTTTGTTTTTTAAAACACTCGTTTTTTAGCAAACTAAAGAAAGGGAACATGTCCGACAACGAAGGAGAGTACGTATATAGAATATTGCTACCTAAAAAAAATGAAGTACAACAATGTGTGTCGCATGTCTTTTTAGACTCTCAATGTGGGGACCTTTCATGCTCTCCCAGTGATTTTAGCGCAACGTGGGGACCTTTCATGTTCTCACTGGGAGAACATGAAATCACTGGGAGAACATGAAAGGTTCCCACGTTGAGAGTCTAAAAAGACATGCGACACACATTATTGTACTTAACCAATTTAACTGGCTAAGTTAGCTCACGTTGCCTCCACACTCCACTGTTCACTTGTTCGTGGATTATTCTTCCTCTTGTCACCTCTGCAGTTTTGATGATGGAGACTTCGATGACGCTGAAGAGGATGAGGGATTAGATGACCTGGAAAACGTTGAAGATGTGAGTTTGCCACCAATTTGTTCTTCCTAGTTATTAACTCTGTTATCTACAGCCCCATTCTCATCCACGGGGCTGTAGTGGAACAGGTTGAGAGCTTCAAGTTCCTTGGTGTCCACATCACCAACGAACTATCATGGTCCAAACACACCAAGACAGTCGTGAAGAGGGCACGACAAAGCCTATTCCCCCTCAGGAGTCTGAAAAGATTTGGCATGGGTCCTCAGATCCTCAAAAGGTTCTACAGCTGCACCATCGAGAGCATCCTGACTGGTTGCATCACCGCCTGGTATGGCAACTGCTCGGCCTCCGACTGCAAGGCACTACAGAGGGTAGTGCGTACGGCCCAGTACATCACTGGGGCCAAGCTTCCTGCCATCCAGGACCTCTATACCAGGCGGTGTCAGAGAAAGGCCCTCAAAATTGTCAAAGACTCCAGACACCCTAGTTATAGACTGTTCTCTCTGCTACCGCACGGCAAGCGGTACTGGAGCGCCTAGTCTAGGTCCAAAAGGCTTCTCAACAGCTTCTACCCCCAAGCCATAAGACTCCTGAACAGCTAATCATGGCTACCCAGACTTTTTGCACTGCCCCCCCCCCCCCCCCCTCTATTATGCTGCTGCTACTCTGTTTTATTATTTATGCATAGTCACTTTAACTCTAGCCACATGTACATATTACCTCAATTACCTCGACTAGCCGGTGCCCTCGCACATTGACTCTGCACCGGTACCCCCCTGTATATAGCCTCCCTACTGTTATTTTATTTTACTGCTGCTCTTTTGCTTTTATTTTTTTTACTTAACACTTATTTATTTTTCTTCTTTAAAAAAATTCATTGTTGGTTAAGGGCTTGTAAGTAAGCATTTCACTGTAATGTCTACACCTGTTGTATTCGGCACATGTGGCAAATACAATTTGATTTGATATAGCAAGCGTCATTGTATCTGGACAGATTTATAGTGTTTTAGTCATCTCATGTGATCTGACATTCATCTGATGCTTTTTTATTTCACTATAATCAAACTATTACTGTCTGTCACCTATTCAATGTTCAACAATTTCATCACCAATTCAAACTCAATTTATTAAAATTGTCCCATCCTCTTCCTCCTCTTTGCTCTCTCTGTCTGTTTCTTGTTGTCCTGACCTGTTACTAGGAGGACCAGGAGAATGTGCAGATCCTGCCTGCAGGGGAGGGGTCGCAGGCCAACCAGAAGAGGATCACAACCCAATACATGACCAAATATGAGAGGGCCAGGGTGCTGGGGACACGTGCACTCCAGATAGCGTGAGTACACCTCAGCAGTGTTTCAATACGCTAGGAAAGTGAAACTCCCACTCCTTTCCAGTAATGTCTTTCTGCTCTTGAGTCCCTGTGAATACGGTCTATTAAAAAGAGCCTGTGTCCAGCCTGTTAGTTGAGAGCTAGTAACCATCTATGGGTTTCTCAAATGAGCATTTCGGAAGTGAATTTAAATACGATACAGAGATTACCTTTACCTTTATTTCTTACATGTAATGCATATGTATGATTCCACTCATGTCTTGCCTTTACTCAAGACAATATTTTGTCTGTAGGTGAATATCAATATAGAAACAGAGAAACTAGGACTCAACTAGCTAAAAAGACAACCATAATACACGTGACAACTGACTGCATCCTAAACGATCAAATACGAAGGTAAAGCTAGCTGTTTGGTAAAGAATTACAACAACAAAAACATTCCCAAAGCTAACGTGAATCACAACATTACACCGTAATGTTTGAAGGAGCTAAGTGCCTACAGCATGGCTGAAAATATGTACAATAAAGGGAACAAAATATAGCAGTGGGCACGGAAGATAAATCTCCTCTCACATGGATGCCACATTCCCAGCGTATTACAACAGATGTCTTTTTTTGCCACTACGACAGGTACCACTCACCTTGTGCTCTTGCCATATTCTCTACCTCAGGTGTCAACTGCAGGTTTAGTTGGTGACGAGTATTCTGCTGAGTATGTGGAGGAATGTGTAGTCTGATATCTCTGACATGTTGTCTCTGTCACTATTCATACCCTTTTCTGTGATATAGGATGTGTGCCCCAGTCATGGTGGAGCTGGAGGGAGAGACAGACCCTCTGCAAATTGCTATGAAAGAGCTAAAGTAAGCTATGCTTAATCTCATAGTTGTTTTCCAGTTTATGATGGAAGGAGTCTATACAGTTTGATACTTGGAGAGTGTCTGTTACTCTTCAGTATATGATTGAGTGTTTTTTCTGTGACCGTTACAGGTGCAGGAAGATTCCCATCATCATCCGGCGGTACCTTCCTGATGGCAGTTATGAAGATTGGGGCTGTGACGAGCTCATCATCACAGACTGAGCCAGACCAAACTGGACTGCCAGAGGCAGGGCCAGACCACCTCGCAACCCACTAGGCTGGTGTGAGTGCAGGCTTTTGTTCCAGCAAAGCATTAATACACCTAATTCAACTAATCAGGGTTTGTTTAACACTATGATTAATTGATTAGTCAGATATTTTTTGTTACTGCTTGGCTGGAACAAAAGCCTGCATAGATACTGTTTTTTTGCTATAACATCAACCACCCCTGCACTGGGTCAAGCAGCTCCACAGAGACAGGCAACCAGGAGAGTGAAGTCATCAATTGACGTCTCCCACTGTATAGCCATTTATTTTGAAAACATTGGAGCATAGACACTCAATGAAGTGAAAGTAGGGCTTCTAAGAGCTATGTACTATTATTACAGCTGTATTACAGCTGTCATTCACAAGGGGGAATTGTAACTCATGTCTACATTTACATTGTGTTAGGAAAACATGTCATTGTGATTATGAATAGTTTTGTGACAGGGAAGAGCAGTTGCTGTGAAAGAGCTCTTCGTTTGTTTTATTGTTGTGATTAAATTGTTTTGTAAGAAAGTACTTTTGTATGTTTTTTTCTTACCAACACAATTTACTTATTGCATGCAGGTCTCAGTACATGACTGTTTTTGATCAGGTTTAGAGCAAAAACATGTTTTTTAATGCAGGGTTAATTACAAAACATCTGTAATTAAATATCTGCTACAAATGGGGCAACTCACATTAATTTTAGTGAATAACTTGCTGAAACAATTTCAACTATGCTCTGAGCAAAGCTGCTTTAAATAATCCTCCCAAGAACTAAGATTTCTAAGAGTTCTGTGTCATATTTCTTAGATATCAACTTCATATGTTTTTCTTGGAGGCTGGATGAAGTACTGAGTCACACTGACGTGACCCAAACACAAATATAGACTGAAGGAATGTGTTTTGCGCTGGATTTTACTGCGTCAGTTGTGTATCCTTTACTCTGTACCATACAAAGCTCTTGCACCAAGTTCCTCTGAATTTTACACTTAGTACAGATAAAACACCTATCCAACCCAACACCCCAAATCGCATGGATATGTTTTCACAATCCAACAGTCAGTGTTTTTTTTCTCCAGTTTGACTTCCACAGTCAAACAGCTCTTTTTATATTATCATGAAAGTTCTACCCATACCTCCCTATGATGGACAGATACTGAAACTGGCATAGCTCTCACCCTCTCGCTTGTTCTATCTACATACACTCAAACAGACAAGCACAGTCAATTCATTGTTTTAGTGGAAATGGGTTGTTACTGAGGCAACGAGCCCTACCCAAGGTTGGGAGAGGGGGCCGAAGAGGGACCCTTGCCCAATTAGCAGATTTGGTGTAAGTGGCTGTGACACCCCAGTCTAGTTTTACTTCAGTCCTTACAGTGGACCTACATTCTACTACAGGCCGAAGGAGTAGAAAGAAGGAAAGCTGTTGGAAAGAGGATGAGGGAAATGCCCAGGTCAAGCAGGAAGAAAATATAACTTTTCTGCCTTAGTCAACCAGGGACGTGCAGTTTCTGGCCTGTGACGCTTTTTATAGGAAACTCATTTTATTTGAGCCTCGTTCAACCATCCTGTGAAACTAAACGAGAGCGAAGTTGACAGGATGGTGGACCAGGCACGTTTTCTGTAGGCCGCTCCACATTACATTTCTTAGCTATATTTTGCGTGATTTAACAGGTCCACAATGTGGAATGGCATTGGCACTATCTTTTTTTTTGCTCGTCCTTTTGGATCGCAACAAATTTGAAAGATTGCCTCCTGAGGATGGCATGGCATTCCTTTCATATGGGGCACAAGATCTTCACATGGCCATTTCCTCAACCACAGAAAAGGGGGCATCACTAGGGTAGATCCACTCTGATGATGGCGTACGTGCATAATGTCTGTCCTCTGCCCTGGGCCTACACTTACCTCACACCCTCCTTCTGTGTTCTCTTGTCCCCCCGTTCACTTCTGCTTGGCAACTTCTGTCCATTTTTGTACCCATTCCACGAAACTACACTATTTGAATCTCCTGCAGCCTCCCTCTTTACCTCCATCATACAATAATTCTGCCCACATCTCTATCTCTCTCTCTCCAGTTTTGGAATGTTTTAATCCCATTACAGTCCCAACCTGAGCAGGGAGGGGAGTTTGGGGGTGGGTGGGGGTGCAGAGACTGTGCAGCCAGTATGAGAGTCCCTTTGTATCCCAGCGAAGCTACAGGCCAGGCAGTTATGGGTATGGCTCCCTCATTGCCCCGTTTCCCTCCTCCCCCTGCTCCCTCTCAATGGCTCTCTTTGTCTTACCAAAGTATCACACAGCCGATTAAATAGAGGGAATTAGAGTCAGGCTTAACCCGCAACACACACACACAATCACACACAAGCATGGACATAGGCATAGACACATGATTTGAACTGCTGAAGTCCATGCAGTGGGACCAGTCAAAACAGTGGACCATAGTGGGGTTCAGTGTTGTCTGTACGGTGCTATGTGCTGTATAGTAGTCTGTGCAATGAGCAGTAATGTCCAGCAAAAGGGTTCTGTGCCTAGAGCTCATGGACGAGGGCTGCCATGGTTTTCAATATTCTGTAATCATACTTAGCCTAACTGAATTAGCCATTATCCATTAGCTGAAATTGCTTTTGTTAAGTGCATGAAACAATGAATGAGTCACTGGGAGCTGTGCATAACTGCTGTTGTTGCATCACCTAGCCCTAGCCTAATTATGTAACTTGAGGAAAATAAGAAGAAAAAAATCACATTGGCAAGTAGCATTTATGGTATATTGGAATTCAGACTATGATATTGACTGTTTGTTGTCCAATGTCATCTTACCTTTCTCAAGCCAGCTGGTATAAAAACATTTGTAGAGACAGACTTTTACAAAAGCAGAAAGAATACAGATTTATTTAGTGTGAGAGAAATTCATTAGTCATCACGTCGCTAAGGTTTTGTTTCCGCTAGTATATACAGGTTGTTTTGTTCAGCTGGCAACACTTACTGAGAAAACACAAAATACAAAATAAAACAACAATAACAGTCAAGAGTTTTCAACATGGTGAAGAAAACCTGTTAACAGCGCATAAAAACATAATTCCAGCAAATATAAATAATAATTGTAATATTCATAAGAACAAGCAATTCCTAAAGCAAGACGTAGGATTTAAAAAGAAATGTCATGTGCTTCTTACACTCAAGGCATAATATAAAAAAATGACCCAAAAGATATCAAAAGTAGTGCTGGGCCAAAAGGTAGCACTACCATCATTTAAAATAATAATATTGAAATCACTTATATTAGAATAAAGTGAACATACAAGGTATTATTTCACATTACAAGATGAAGGGCATCCAACTACAGGTACTGTTATTTTGGAGTTGTCTCTTGGTACCTCTCTTTAGACAATAACCCCTTGGATTGTTGCTTTTCTGTTTCAAACATGGGGTGGGTATTTCATTACACAAAGGTGAGTTGGAGCTCTTACGCTCTGTAGGCTCGTTAACTCATTCATGCATTCTATTACTCACTCAATCTCAGGCAACTGTGTTTCTATAATGGCATTTCAGAAAAGCCATCAACAGGTAGCAAAAATGTTACAACAACTATCTACAAATCCAACATTTTACACTGAGTGTACAAAACATTAGGAACACCTTCCTAATATTAAGTTGCACCCCCTTTTGCCCTCAGAACAACCTCAATTAGTCGGGGCATGGACTACAGGTGTCGAAAGCGTTCCACAGGGATGCTGGCCCATGTTGACTCCAATGCTTCCCGCAGTTGTGTCAAATTGGCTGGATGTCCTTTGGATGGTGGACCATTCTTGATACATATGGAAAAACCCAGCAGCGTTGCAGTTCTTGACTCACTCAAACAGGGGCGCCTTGGCACCTACTTCCATACCCTGTTCAAAGACACTTAAATCAATTCACCCTCTGAATGGTACACATACACAATCCATGTTGCAATTGTCTCAAGGCTTAAAAATCCTTCTTTAACCTGTCTCCTCCCCTTCATCTACACTGATTGAAGTGGATTTAACAGGTGGCATCAATAAGGGATGATAACTTTCACCTAGAGTCACCTGGTCAGTCTATGTCATGGAACGAGCACTCAGTGTATATACACATTTTGAATGTCAAACAATTAAGAAAAATGTGAGGGGAGTGGTGCAGACTTTTCAGTGTTGACAATATAATGACATTAATAGTAAAGATTATAACAATGAAAATAATGTATTATGTCTACTGAAGATACATACTTAATGACCACAGTTTTGGTTAATAAAATATTATTATATAAAATAATTATGTAGTATTGTCTTCTTATTTGCTATTCAGTTTTGAAATGTTCTGTGTTAAGGAGACAATGCTGAATCAACATAATAGTCAGTGCCATGAAAAAAAGTATTGAATTGAGGTTGATACAGTTGAAGTCGGAAGTTTACATACACTTAGGTCGGAGTCATTAAAACTTGTTTTTCAACCACTCCACACATTTCTTGTTAACAAACTATAGTTTTGGAAAGTCGGTTAGGACATCTACTTTGTGCATGACACAAGTCATTTTTCCAACAATTGTTTACAGACAGATTATTTCACTTATAATTCACTGTATCACAATTCCAGTGGGTCAGAAGTTTACATACATTAAGTTGACTGTGCCTTTAAACAGCTTGGAAAAGTCCAGAAAATGATGTCATGGCTTTAGAAACTTCTGATAGGCTAATTGACATCATTTGAGTCAATTGGAGGTGTACCTGTGGATGTATTTCAAGGCCTACCTTCAAACTCAGTGCCTCTTTGCTTGACATCATGAGAAAATCAAAAGAAATCAGCCAAGACCTCAGAAATTGTTTTGTAGACCTCCACAAGTCTGGTTCATCCTTGGGAGCAATTTTCAAACGCCTGAAGGTACCACGTTCATCTGTACAAACAATAGTACGCAAGTATAAACACCATAGGACCACGCAGCCGTCATACCGCTCAGGAAGGAGACGTGTTCGGTCTCCTAGAGATGAACGTACTTTGGTGCGAAAAGTGCAATTAAATCCCAGAACAACAGCAAAGGACCTTGTGTAGATGCTGGAGGGAACAGGTACAAAAGTATCTATATCCACAGTAAAACGAGTCCTATATCGACATAACCTGAAAGGCCGCTCAGAAAGGAAGAAACCACTGCTCCAAAACCGCCATAAACATGCAGGACTACGGTTTGCAACTGCACATGGGGACAAAGATCGTCCTTTTTGGAGAAATGTCCTCTGGTCTGATTAAACAAAAATAGAACTGTTTGGCCATAATGACCATCGTTATGTTTGGAGGAAAAAAAGGGAAGCTTACAAGCCGAAGAACACCATCCCAACCGTGAAGCACGGGGGTGGCAGCATCATGCTGTGGGGGTGCTTTGCTGCAGGAGGGACTGGTGCACTTCACAAAATAGATGGCATCATCAGGAAGGAAAATTATGTGGATATATTGAAGCAACATCTCAAGACATCAGTCAGGAAGTTAAAGCTTGGTCGCAAATGGGTCTTCCAAATGGACAATGACCCCAAACATACTTCCAAAGTTGTGGCAAAATGGCTTAAGGACAACAAAGTCAAGGTATTGTAGTGGCCATCACAAAGCCCTGACCTCAATCCTATAGAACATTTGTGGGCAGAACTGAAAAAGTGTGTGCGAGCAAGGAGGCCTACAAACCTGACTCAGTTACACCAGCCCTGTCAGGAGGAATGGGCCAAAATTCACCCAACTTATTGTGGGAAGCTTGTGGAAGGCTACCCAAAACATTTGACCCAAGTTAAACCATTTAAAGGCAATGCTACCAAATACTAATTGAGTGTATGTAAACTTCTGAGCCACTGGGAATGTGATGAAAGAAATAAAAGCTTAAATCATTCTCTCTACTATTATTCTGACATTTCACATTCTTAAAATAAAGTGGTGATCCTAACTGACCTAAAACAGGGATTTTTTTACTAGGATTAAATGTCAGGAATTGTGAAAACTGAGTTTAAATGTATTTGGCTAAGGTGTATGCAAACTTCCGACTTCAACTGTATATCAATATAGTCTTGAGGGTATGTCACCAAAGAGCTATAATCAGGTAAGTAGAATAAAGTGAACATACAAGGTATATTTCACATTACATGATGAAGGGCATCCAACTACAGGTACTGTTATTTTGGAGTTGTCTCTTGGTACCTCTCTTTAGAAAATAACCCCTTGAATTGTTGCTATTCTGTTTCAAACATGAAGTGGGTATTTCATTACACAAAGGTGAGTTTGACCTCTTACGCTCTGTAGGCTCGTTAACTCATTCATGCATTCTATTACTCACTCAATCTCAGGCAACTGTGTTTCTATAATGGCATTTCAGAAAAGCCATCAACAGGTAGCAAAAATGTTACAACAACTATCTACAAATCTAACATTTTACACTGAATACTGTACACTGAGTGTACAAAACATTAGGAACACCTTCCTAATATGAAGTTGCACCCCCTTTTGCCCTCAGAACAACCTCAATTAGTCGGGGCATGGACTACAGGTGTTGAAAGCGTTCCACAGGGATGCTGGCCCATGTTGACTCTAATGCTTCCCGCAGTTGTGTTAAGTTGGCTGGATGTCCTTTGGGTGGTGGACCATTCTTGATACACATGGGGAAATGAAATGGTTGAGCGTTAAAAACCCAGCAGTGTTGCAGTTCTTGACTCACTCAAACCGGGGCGCCTTGGCACCTACTACCATATCCCGTTCAAAGACACTTAAATATTTTGTCTTGCCCATTCACCCTCTGAATGGCACACATACACAATCCATGTCTCAATTGTCTCAATGCTTAAAAATCCTTCTTAAACCTGTCTCCTTCCCTTCATCTACACTGACTGAAGTGGATTTAACAGGTGGCATCATAAGGGATCATAACTTTCACCTGGATTCACCTGGTCAGTCTATGTCATGGAACGAGCACTCAGTGTATATACACTTTTTGAATGTCAAACAATTAAGAAAAATGTGAGGGCAGTGGTGCAGACTTTTCAGTGTTGACAATATAATGACATTAATAGTAAAGATTATAACAATGAAAATAATGTATTATGTCTACTGAAGATACATACTTAATGACCACAGTTTTGGTTAATAAAATATTATTATATAACATAATTATGTATGTAGTATTGGCTTCTTATTTGCTATTCAGTTTTGAAATGTTCTCTGTTAAGGAGACAATGCTGAATCAACATAATAGTCAGTGCCATTAAAAAAAGTATTGAATTGAGGTTGATACAGTTGAAGTCGGAAGTTTACATACTCCTAGGTTGGAGTCATTAAAACTTGTTTTTCAACCACTCCACACATTTCTTGTTAACAAACTATAGTTTTGTGCATGACACAAGTAATTTTTCCAACAATTGTTTACAGACAGATTATTTCACTTATAATTCACTGTATCACAATTCCAGTGGGTCAGAAGTTTACATAAACTAAGTTGACTGTGCCTTTAAACAGCTTGGAAAATTCCAGAAAATGATGTCATGGCTTTAGAAGCTTCTGATAGGCTAATTGACATAATTTGAGTCAATTGGACCTGTGGATGTATTTCAAGGCCTACCTTCAAACTCAGTGCCTCTTTGCTTGACGTCATGGGAAAATCAAAAGAAATCAGCCAAGACCTCAGAAAATAAATTGTAGACCTCCACAAGTCTGGTTCATCCTTGGGAGCAATTTCCAAATGCCTGAATGTACCACGTTCATCTGTACAAACAATAGTATGCAAGTATAAACACCATGGGACCACGCAGCCGTCATACCGCTCAGGAAGGAGACGCGTTCTGTCTCCTAGAGATGAACGTACTTTGGTGCGAAAAGTGCAAATCAATCCCAGAACAACAGCAAAGGACCTTGTGAAGATGCTGGAGGAAACAGGTACAAAAGTATCTATATCCACAGTAAAACGAGTCCTATATCGACATAACCTGAAAGGCTGCTCAGCAAGGAAGAAACCACCGCCATAAAAAAGCAGGACTACGGTTTGCAACTGCACATGGGGACAAAGATCGTACTTTTTGGAGAACTGTGCTCTGGTCTGTTGAAACAAAAATATAACTGTTTGGCTATAAAGACCATCGTTATGTTTGGAGGAAAAAGGGGGTGGCTTGCAAGCCAAAGAACACCATCCCAACCGTGAAGCACGGGGGTGGCAGCATCATGCTGTGGGGGTGCTTTGCTGCAGGAGGGACTGGTGCACTTCACAAAATAGATGGCATCATGAGGAAGGGAAATTATGTGGATATATTGAAGCAACATCTCAAGACATCAGTCAGGAAGTTAAAGCTTGGTCGCAAATGGGTCTTCCAAATGGACAATGACCCCAAGCATACTTCCAAAGTTGTGGCAAAATGGCTTAAGGACAACAAAGTCAAGGTATTGGAGTGGCCATCACAAAGCCCTGACCTCAATCCTATAGAAAATGTGTGGGCAGAACTGAAAAAGCGTGTGCGAGCAAGGGGGCCTACAAACCTGACTCAGTTACACCAGCTCTGACAGGAGGAATGGGCCAAATTTCACCCAACTTATTGTGGGAAGCTTGTGGAAGGCTACCCGAAACGTTTGACCCAAGTTAAACAATTTAAAGGCAATGCTACCAAATACTAATTGAGTGTATGTAAACTTCTGACCCACTGGGAATGTGATAAAAGAAATAAAAGCTGAAATAAATAATTATCTCTACTATTATTCTGACATTTCACATTCTTAAAATAAAGTGGTGATCCTAACTGACCTAAGACAGGGAATTATTACTAGGATTAAATGTCAGGAATTGTGAAAAACTGAGTTTAAATGTATTTGGCTAAGGTGTATGTAAACTTCTGACTTCAACTGTACGTATGGTCACTGTAGGGACGACGTCATCGATGTCCTTATTGATGAAGCCAGTGACTGATGTGGTGTACTCCTCAATGCCATCGGAAGAATCATATTCCAGTCACCTTCATTTATAAGGCCACAAAGGTACTGTTCTCTTGTTGCAAGGTACAATGTAGACAGGTGTGAGAGGTGTGAGGGAGAATTGCCACCTGTTTTTTACTAGGATTAAATGTCAGGAATTGTTGTGCTTGTGACTTCACTTTTTTCAATTCGTACTGATTACTTGACATACATGTCATATGGGGAAAACTTTAACAATACTGTCTGTAAAGTTTTGGTTTCCCTACTTTTTAAACATCTGTAGAAACATATTTTCTGGACTGTATGCCCTTTTTTATAGATATACAGTATTTTCCAATTACAACAGAGGCAACTTATACAAGAAATATGCCTCTAGGCCAATCACAGAATATGTCATATTGATTATATATTGGATACTGTGTTACATCATGTAATTAATCAGTTTTCAACATGCCTGAGATGTGGATGGATGGGCTAGCCAAACAGTTTGGCACTCTCTACTGTTGACATCTTTACATCATAAAACCATTTCAACGATAAGCCTCTAGATTTAAATACGGATTTGATTTATTCTCTTTCTGACCCTAGAAACTAGGATCTAACCCTCTGAGTACTCAACATTGAAGTTATACACCACACGTTACCCCATAAAATCATCTGATCTCCATTCCTCCTTGGACCCTACTGGCCATCCTGCATCTGGGCCAGACCAGAAGGGGATTCCGTCTCCCCACTGCCCCCAACCCAGGTCTCCTCCGCTCTGTGGGTCTGCCATTGGGGACAAATCTGCACCAGTGCCCTCTGCTCCCGGTCTTTGTCAGGGCCGCGACAGGGTGGTGTAGACAGGCTGCTCCCAGTGCGTGGGGCTGTGTGACTGTGGCACGCTGGACGGGTCAGTGATGGCTGTGTACAGGGGCCTCTGCGAGGGCCCCATGTAGGAGAAGGCAGAGTACAGCCCTGAGGCCTGGCTGGAGTGGGCGTAGTAGGATCCCGAGGCCTGGTGGTCAGCATACTCTGCAAACTGGGCCCTGGAGGCCAGCGAGGGGAAAGCAGAGCTGTAGTGGGGCAGGCTGAGGGGAGTGTAGGTGACATGGGAACCCCCTGAGGATGCTTCGGCAAAGTGTCCACCCGAGCCGGCCTCACTCTTAATCTGGGCCTTGGAGTGGTCGGAGCCCAGAGAGGAGGCATGATGCTGCTGGTGCTGCTTGGATAGCCACGCTGCAGAGTGTCCACTGGCCGCGGCCAGGGCAGAGGAGATACCGTAGGCATAGGGAGAGAGGACCCTGCTGCTGCCGCTGACCCAGCACTCTGTCCAACCCCCGGGTGCCCGTTGGGGGGCAGGTACTGGTCAAACTCGTTCACATCAAAGGGCTCCATGTTGGCCATCACCTCGTGGCTGATCTCACCGATGTCCACGTTGCCGAAATCAATGTGGGGTTTGCCTGACCCTGATCCAGAGCCACCCTCCGCTCCTACCCCCATTCCCCCACGGGAGCCCCCTGCTCCACTGCCCTCCCGCTTCCCATCGCCCAACTTCCCAGACTGGAGTTCCGTCTTGGGGGTGGTGGGTGGTGTAGGAGGGCTGTGGCTCTGGCCTGTTGGGTAGACAGAACACAAAGCAAAGATGTCAGAGTTATTGTCAGCCTGGCTTGTGGTATATTATTTAGAATGGGAGTGTGTGGGTGTGTGACAGACTGCGTCGGTAGGGCTGGTCAGAGCCTGTGGTCCCACCTGCAGCATGTGGGTGGTGTCCATCAGCCAGAGGAGACCCCGCCCCCCCGACATGGGCAGCCACGTCCAGGTGGAGGCTCTTGTAGTGCGATTGGCTATGGCTGACCTCACCCTCCGAGTGGCCGTCAGCATCAGAGCCCGAGCCGGGTTTGCCGTTCTTGCGGCGGCGTGGCTGGTACTTGTACTCTGGGTAATCCTTCTTGTGCTGCTTCCTCAGCCTCTCTGCCTCCTCGATGAAAGGCTTCTTATCACTCTCATTCAAGAGCCTATCAGGGATTTTTAAAAAATAATAATAACAAGGGTAGAACATTTTAATTTCAGCCAGAAGGAACTTAAAGTAGAGGTGTTTTGTGCTGCTGATTTGATGCATGTGTAAACCTCTAATGCCAGTCAGCCATTCTGTTTGAATTAGGAAATTGGAGTAGCCTGAGAACATTTTACAGCATGTATTTTGATAACATGATGACCATAATATGTGTGTTAAGATAACAGTGACAGTGCTGGTTCCTTTGACACCTCAACATCCCAGAGGTCAATAACCTCGGCCAACTCCAATTGAAGAATAATTCCATGTTATTTACCAGGTAGTCTGTGTCAACTGGGACATATCACCATTTATATTCAATCTACTAAGTATTCTAGTATTTTACTTTTTAAAAACGTCTAACTGGAGTTGTGGCAACAAACTCATAGGCATTGTTGCTATTCCCCTTGTTTAGCACAATATTTCTACTATGGAGATTATTTATTCCATCAGTTTTGCCTCTGAACTATTCACTTGATTTTCATATCGTTCTACATCGGATCCACCATCTGCACAGCTGCATCAGAAAACTTGCCCACACTAGGGGATTTTCTGCTGGACTGTAATGCAATTAAGACACAGGCTAAAGATGCATCCTGTGCACATAACAGGAATCCATATTACTGATGGTGGAGTCAGGGGGACTGGCATGAGAAAACACTGACCTTTGAGACTCCCAGTTCAGCATGTTTCTTGGCCAATTATACAATCATGCGCAGGCTCAAGGTCAAGTCTTTATCTAATTAATGTTGCCTCCTTATAATGTTAATGAATTAGCCTCTCTGGAACTTCCCATCAGCAAGCACTCATCTGACCTAGCAACAGTCCTCCATATATGTGTTTTAAAGGCTAACCGAACTTGAGTCATTCAACCCGTTGACCAGTAAAATCTTGGATAGCTTTTTACATTGTAGGCTCTTTAATATGGTGCTCTCAATCACAAATGAGATGTCTGTAAAAGTGTATATCTGCCATAATGGTCTGTGCTTTAAAACATATAGATGAGGGGATTACAAAAACCTCAGTAATTCCCATTGCAGCAATCTCCCTCCTAAACCACCATTAATTAAGTGGGTTATGAAATTGGGCATATCCAGTCACATATGACCACTATAATGTGAATACAAAAAAAAACACGTAACTAAATGTTTTGGGTTTTCTGTAGGCTACATAATCAACATAATTATTTAAATATTTTTAGGTTGTAGGGCTTTAATCAACATTCCTTGCTGGGGCAACTCTCTAACAAGCTTTATTCTGAGCTGGTATAATATGATTTTAACATATCTCAGCTAATTTTACTGAGAAACTCATTGTTGTAAAGAAGGGAACTTGCCTTGACTTTTTAGGTTGTTTTTATGTTTTATGGGGCCACAATTCAAGTCTACTGTAGCATGAAGTGTGCTTTGAACTTTTGACCCTGAATGTTGTGACTAAAAACGCATTTGAACTTGTGTAACCCTGGATGTTTATTGTTGTTTATCAAAGCGGACCAATGCTGTAATGTGCGCTTTCCCTTACCTCCATAGTTTCCCGAGGGTTTTGCTGAGCTCAGCGTTGTGGAGGTGGGGGATACTGGTCTGCCAGTTTTCTCCGTGCGGCCTGTGCCCACACCATGAAGGCGTTCATAGGTCTTTTCACATGCGGCTTGCTTTTGTTGCCGGAGTTTACGCGCACAGGCATAGGCACGAGTGTCCAGTCGTAGCCGTTCAGCACCTGGCTCACTGCCTCGCGGATACCAATGGGAAAGCGATCGTCGTCTTCGTCGGACTTGATGGAAATCCCACCAGCTACATCGGATAGGGCGTCGTCGTGGACCCCTGTCAGCTGGGGCTGCGGACCGGACAGGGGTGAGTCTCCTCCGCCTGCGGCACTAGAGGAGTGACCCGGTGACAAGGAGTGACCGTCGTCCGAGACCCCCGGACTCATTTCTAACTCAGATAAACTCTGCTCCTCCCCCGACATCTTTTCCTCTCTTCCAAGAAAGCTTCCTCCCTTAGGTGAGTAACAGAAAGTGTACAGGGTATAGTTTCTTGGCCTATGGGTGTTCAACTACTAAGTCTAGGCCTATCCCTATGTCTGAACTAACGAAGAAGGTCACCCTTTTTCAGGGAATATAAACTATGCCTGTTTAAAACTAAAGGATTGCTTCTGTCACTCGAGGTCTCCTTTATATAAACTCCCAGTCAGTCTCAACTCTCAGTCTACGTTCTAAAATTCTGTTAGGATTCCTCATCAAAGTTCTTTCCATCCGTGTTGCTGGTATCTTACGCTGAGCGCGTCGTGTGGATCCCAGTTTACCTGTTGAGTCCCACCTCTTGCTCCAGTAGAACAGTCTCCTCTCCCTTGCAGTCTCTGAAAGTGTAGGCCTTTAGCGAAATACTGCAAAGGACATACCATGTAGAGTATGTATTAGAAAACAATACCCTTGTGAGTGAGTGAAATATAGAACATTTTATAAACTGGGTGGTTCCAGCCCTGAATGCTGATTTGCTGACAGCCTTGGTATATCAGACCGTATACCACCACGCGTATGACAAAACAGTTATTTTTACTTTTCTAATTACATTGGTGACCAGTTTATAATAGCAATAAGGCACCTCGGGGTTTGTGGTACATGGCCAATATACCACGGCTAAGGGCTGTATCCAGGCACTCTGCTTTGCGTTATGCACAAGAACAGCCCTTAGCTGTGGTATATTAGCCATATACCACACCCCCTCATAACGTATTGCTTAATTATAGCCTGTCGGCTGCTAAGCCTGTGTAGGATGGGCTATGAACAGGCAGGTAACTAATAGGGCTATAGAGCTAGGCTGTAGCTTGTTTGCTCAAAATACTTTCATTTTAATTAGCATATAAGGATAAACCGGTCATGGGCAACGTGTAAGATCATTGTCACAGCACCACAGACAATAAGATTAGCCTACATGTAATTCGTTATAATGAAGCATGTAATAGAAATTAATAGGAAAAGTGCAAAATTGTAATCATATAGAAGCGAATCTGAAGCCCATACAGTTAGTGTAGTCGGTCTGTTATTCTAACCCAGGCCTTGACTCCTGCTAACAAGCTACTGTTTAAGGTTTGGCACTTATTGCAAGCTCCCCTGAGAGAAAGTGTTGGAATAATATGAGCCCGCGCTAGCACAGGGCTTCGATTTATACCTTGGAGCTCTTAGATAAACATGGGCTGGCGCTGGAAATATAAACCGCGTGGGTACGTGTGTATGCGTGTGTGTGAATTGGACATTGTCTGTTTGAAAAAGTATAGGCTATGGGTCTGTATAGGGCCTATTAGGGATGAAAATGTGTATTTTTGTCCAATAGAATCAACGCCCGCCTGTGTAGGCTAACACGACCTTAACGTTTTGATTAAGCGAACATGGATTTCTTTTGGAATTGAATTATTATTTGAATCAGTCATATTGTAGAAGTTAAATTCATAATGCTGTTCTCTCTAGTGACCAATTGATCCTTTGTATCATTTGGATGCCACTGACATAAACACTGCAATGGTGGTGAATTATTAGAACATTGGCGGGACTGTGCCATATCATCTTGCACCTCAACCACGTCCTGTTGTGCACCTGGTGGTCACAATTAATTTTCTCGAATAGCTGGACCATATGTCTGTTACGTTGAAGCTTATTAACAAGTCTCTGGCACCGATGATAATCTGAATAGGCCTATGTCCGTATGGGTAACTGCGCTCGCAACAAACGCTCTCCAATTGCGCGTCCGCATATCGTCACTATGAGGCTATGGGCCTACTTTTCATATGACCCGATGACACCCACTCAGGCTACTTAGAATAAAATATTGAAGCTTTATACACTATATATACAAAGTATGTGGACACCCCTTCAAATTAGTGGATTCGGCTATTTCAGCCACACCCATTGCTGACAGGTGTATACAATCGAGCACACAGCCATGCAATCTCCATTGACAAACATTGGCAGTCGAATGGCCTTACTGAAGAGCTCAGTGACTTTCAACGTGGCACCGTCATAGGATGCCACCTTTCCAACAAGTCAGTTCGTGAAATTTCTGCCCTGCCAGAGCTTCCCCGGTCCACTGTAAGTGCTGTTATTTGTGAAGTGGAAATGTCTAGGAGCAACAACGGCTCGGCAGCGAAGTGGTAGGCCACACAAGCTCACAGAACGGGACCGGCGAGTATTCAAGCACATAGCACGTAAAAATCGTCTGTCCTCAGTTGCAACACTCACTACCGAGTTCCAAACTGCCTCTGGAAGCAATGTTAGCACAATAACTGTTTGTCGGGAGCTTCATGAAATGGGTTTCCATGGCCGAGCAGCCGCACACAAGCCAAAGAACACCATGCACAATGCCAAGCATCGGCTGGAGTTGTGCAAAGATCGCCACCATTGGACTGGAGCAGTGGAAACGTGTTCTCTGGAGTGATGAATCACGCTTCACCATCTGGCAGTCCGATGGACTGGGTTTGGTGGATGCCCGAATGCATAGTGCCAACTGTAAAGTTTGGTGGAGGAGGAATAATGGTCTGGGGCTGTTTTTCATGGTTTGGGCTAGGCCCCTTAGTTCCAGTGAAGGGACATCTTAATGCTACAGCATACAATGACATTCCAGACGATTCTATGCTTCCAACTTTGTGGCAACAGTTTGGGGAAGGCCCTTTCCTGTTTCAGCATGACAATGCCCCTGTGAACTTGACTGGCCTGCACAGACCCTGACCTCAACCCCATCGAACACCTTTGGGATGAATTGGAACGCAGACTGCGAGCCAGGCCTAATCGCCCAACACCAGTGCACAACCTCACTAATGCTCTTGTGGCTGAATGGAAGCAAGTCCCCGCAGCAATGTTCCAACATCTAGTGGAAAGCCTTCCCAGAAGAGTGGAGGCTGTTATCGCCTCAAAGGGGGGACCAACTCCATATTAATGCCCATGATTTTGGAATGAGATGTTCGACGAGCAGGTGTCCACAGACGTTTTGTCATGTAGTGTATGTATAGGCTAATAACGGTGTTTGTAAACGACATATAATGCGACAATAATTGATTACAACTCCGGTTTTGGTGCGCTCGCCCATTCGAATTGGTTGCATCCAGAACAGAGTTCCTATGTGATTCAAGTCGTGACAGTTTTTTTTTCAATGAGCACATTTCTTTACAAAGAAAGTATTTTCACCAGGTTGTCCTTCAGATTAGTTCAGAGCTATGAAATACACACGGTTTGTCTGTCCTGTGATTATAAAAGCAGGGGTTAAATGCCAATTTATGCTCGTCCACATTGAAGAACTCTTATCTAATTTATAGTCAGTATAGGCTCTACTGTATATATATTGTGTAGCCTACAGTATATTGATTGTTCTCTACATTCCTCTTAAATTGTGTTTATGATGTCTAACTTTCCATCAATTAGGCTTTTTCTATAGCAACCGTCATTCATTTACAAGAAAGACGTGGACTCCAAAGCCCTTCTTATCGCTTGACCTAACAATAAATTGCCCTTAATTTACGAAAATATTTTCCCATGATTGATGCTGTAGACTATTTCCCTTAGTTAGTTGTAAGGTGTTCATTTATTATAATAAAATAAAAACTTTAACATATCCAGAAATGTGGCATAGCCTATCTGTATCTGAGATATTTTTATTCCAAAACAATTGTCTCCAAACAATTGAATAAAACGTGACAATTATATGGCCTATTTGAGTTTTATCGTGAATTTGGCCTTTGACCTTGAGTTTTGATGCAGTTCTAGAATAGTACATGTTTTTGGCACTAACCACTGATCAGAGATGACGAGAACACATCCAGCTTTCTTAAGGCATTATGAAATGGATGATCTTGTTGACTAACTTTCTCTCAGTTAATGAATATATTAGTCAACCTGTAAATACGCACGATTAAATAATCCTAATACTGCCAAAAATAGTTCCATGCGTCATGAATGTTGGGAAAGTCAGTAGATGTTATTAAGGAGTCAAAGGTTAGCCGTTAATGGGAAAACTTTAACTCGATAAATCCCTGAAGTTATAAATAAAACTATATTTTTCACTGGTCTATAAATTATTGTATAACTTCGAAAGGAACGTTCACGACAAGGCAAAAATAAACGGAATAAATCACTTTGAAGCTGGTTCATAATTGACATTGTATGTCAGTAGGCCTATTTGTATTAGCCTATATAGTCTGTAGCATACACTTGCAAAGTATATATATAATATCTCGTTGGGATGCGTATTAAAAATGTATTTCTCCTGCCAGTCACGATAATCATCTCCTGCTATAACAGAGCAGGCGATGCCCACTTTACACAGCAGGATTATCCTAAGAGACAGTTTAAATGTAATAATAATAATATTCTAATAGTTATAATGATAATAGCCTAATAATAATAGTCTAATAATTTAAATAAAACAATGATTTAGAAAAAATGCAGGTGTAATACATCATTTCTAACTGCACAATTTAAATTAACTTATGGCTTGATTATTTGACAAATGAAAGAATGAGAGAGAGAGAGAGAGAGAGAGAGAGAGAGAGAGAGAGAGAGAGAGAGAGAGAGAGAGAGAGAGAGAGAGAGAGAGAGAGAGAGAGAGAGAGAGAGAGAGGAAAGTATTTCAAATGCTAAGCGCCTTACTTCAGTAATGAAAAATGAGAGTCCGTGTGTTCCAGAGTTTCCAAAATGACGCTCGCGCTCACTCCCTAGCCCCCTCGCTCGCACTGCACATCTATGAATGCCTGCTCTGTGTCGCACGCCGGGGCTTAAAGAGCTCTGTTGTGTGAGGAAAGAGAAAAAAGTGGGGGACAAAACTTAAAGGAGCAGCAAACTTACACGCATGCAACACCGGCAATCAACGTGATTGGTCGATGATTATTTTGCTCAGTTTCCTGCAGGGCGGGATCTTACTGTCCAAATGAGCATCAATATTATGCCAATATTATGCCTACCTGATGAATGTGGAGACGCTTCA